GAACAATTTTATCATCTGATCATATAAATCAGTGTTTCTCAACCTTAGCAACTTTTAGATATGTCAAATTACATTAGGGAAGGACATGAATGCCGTAATAACAAAGGATATTGCACAATGTTAGTTTCATAAATAAAACAAATATACATTGTATATAAGTCTGGATTTCAAATGCATATATTTAAAACTGTTTGTCTTTAAGATTCATTGTAGTCTACTACAATCATTGTAGTTTTTAAACATACTACAGTCTATAATTAAATACATCTCCTGTTATTTCAAAACATAAATAAGAAAGCTTAATTAAAAGTATGCCTGGTGGGATAGCCAAAGGGCAATGGTGGAATACCTCAGAGTGTTCTGCTACAGGAGAATGTGGAATTTCAGATGATCTCTAACATGCTAAAATCCTTTAAAGCCTTTAGTTATGAGAATCATGGATGACGGAAAAGCTTTTGAAAAACCATTACAAACAGTCCTGCTGATAATGAACAGTTTGATATGATTTCACTAAAAAAATATGTGACTAAACCATATTAACATCCAACCTACCACATTCATACAATCAGGAACGCTCACAAATTCACATACCTTGTGTTGTTGATCTTGTATGACATTCAGTATTTTTCTTTTTTAAAGAGTGAAGTGTATATAGTAAAGAAGAACCTCATGCTGGAGGAGAGAGCAGGGAGCCAGCATGAATATAGCATGGAATTTGCTAATTGTTTGATGGCAAATTATGAAAACCCTGACCACTGTTTATTCTTTTTTTCAACATAAAGTTTTTCAATGAAGGAATTCTTGAATGGTTCACTTAATGCAAGATAAAAAACTAATGGAATATAATTACCGTTACAGCCTAAATCTTTCAATATTAATCAATGCATTTCTTAATAATTGGCTGAATTTGTATAATTGGCAGATATTACATTTGTACTGATTTTAAAAAATCCCATACCTTCTGAATACATTTGCTTTGTGTTTATAATGTCTTGTTTATAGGTAGATTTCATTTTCAGACGTTCACTACATTTTACATTTTTTAAAATAAACCTTTACACATTTTAACATTTTTAGAAAAAGGAGAGATAAAGCTCAGGGCACATATTATGGTATGTGATATATTATCTAATCAGTCTCACTTCCTGAATTTGAAGTATTATCATCACTATCAGCAATATCAACTTCTTTTGATTCTTTTTCAAATCATGATACCAATTTATACTAACATCTGAAAATTATGGGTGGCCTATATTGAAACAAACTTTGTACATTTCACATATGCTTCTTTCTTAATTTGGTGCATTTCCTACCATAGATAAATTTCTTGCATATCTTGACCATTTGATAAACTATTTAAAATGAAAGCAAGGTAAAAAGGTAAAAGTTTCCCTGTCAGTCATGTCCGACTCTAGAGCATGGTGCTCATCTCCGTTTCTCCGAAGACAATTTCCGTGATCATGTGGCCATCATGGAACGCTGTTACCTTCCCACCGAAGTGGTCCCTATTAATCTACTTGTATCTGCATGCTTTTGAACTGCTAGAAGGCAGAAGCTGGGGCAAGTAATGGGAGCTCACCCCATTGCATGGAGCTCAAGTCTTAAACCCGGGCTGTCAGCTCTCCAGCTGACAAGCTCAGCGTCTTTAACTGCTGAACCATTGAGCCCCAAATGAAACTACTAACTAGAAGTTTCTTCACTTCTTTCTCAACTTTTTCATAAATACAAAGACATAAACGTCTTCATAAAAATTGGGAAATGCTATGCAAACCCAGCTACTGTGCATTATAATCCATAATAATGGCAAGTCCATAAATATTAGGCCTTCAAAAGCAAAGCCTTCAAAAGAAGTATTTTTACAACTCATGGAAGTTCCTCTTTACAAAACATACATCATACAAGCAACAGTGTGGTTTGTGAGGATTACAAGATGATTTTAGAAGCTGATATTGGCTGTCTCTGTATGTTTTGTGAAATGGTTATATACAACTCTAAAACTTTTTCATTCTAGAAGTTGACTGCCAGCTGTGAGTTGGGTGCTGTGCTTGCCTGCACAGGCATACATCTATACATGAAAACATTTGTATATACATATTCCCACCCTACAACTGCTCACAAACATGCATTCACTTTCAAAATCATGAGGAGGGAAGTAAAAGTTAAAATCTCACTTTCTCAACAGCTATTTTCTTCTATGCCACCATCAATCTGCATATATTATTATCTCCTCTATTACCTCCTTATCTCACTCATAATTCTTGCACACTTATTTCCCCTAAATTTAGGCTACTTTCCTAAACTTAACTGGGAATCATATTACTAATTTTATTATCTTTTAAAAGGCATGGGTATCCGTGATCTTCAGATGCTATTGAAGTATAATTTCCAATATCTACCATACACCCATTTTCTGGCCACTTGTTTGATCAATCAAATGGCCAGCTCTACTGTCCTGTGACTCATTCACAGAAACATATACCAAGATATACAGCTTAGCTCAATGTCCACAAAACAGTACAATCGGAGCATTCTGCTTTCAATCTCTTTAAGTCTAGGAGCCTGAGTGGCGTAGGAGGCTAATGCCTCCTACTAAGGTAGCATTTAACATCCAGCTGCCTGCAATTACTGCGAGTTCAATTCTCACCAGGCTCAAGGTCGACTCAGCTTTCCATCCTTTCTAAGGTGGGTAAAATGAGGACCCGGTTTGTGGGGGCAATAAGCTGACTTTGTATAAAATATACAAAAAAGTATGAAGGCTATTGCTTAACGCATTGTAAGCCGCCCTGAGTCTCCGGAGAAGGGCGGCATATATATATATATAAAGTCCAAATTATAATAATTATTGATAATTATTGATAATAAGATGGGCAGCACATAAATTTAATAAATAAATAATAATAAGTCGTAGTAAACAATCTTCAGCAATGTAGTCATTGTTTTCTGTTTGGTTTTTACTTGATGTACGCCATCAACAGCTGCAATTATATGAATTGGGCAGCTCTATACATCTTTTAAATAAATGTTAAGCAGGAAGTGAACCTTGTCTTTTTCTTGCTAACAGAAGAGAACTGTAACATGGCAGTGACTAAGACAATTATCCTTACTTCTGACAGCATAATCTGATGTTTTAATTTAAAAATATAGATTTGTGTAGCTTGGAATATATGTATTCTTATCCCAAATCTTAAATGTTTATATTTCTGTAATGTGATATCTCCTCAAATATAAATATTTCTACATATTTTGAAAACAATATGTTTTCAGATTTAAAAAAAAAAAGAAAATTGATTGAAGTCCAAATTAACAGAAATGTCTTCACTCAGACCCATGTTTCTATAATATGAAAATTAGTAAAGATAAACACATGAAAATATACTTGGACAATATACTTTAAGCAATCCATTGTTTGAATAAAATTACTTGTGCTGATCCTATCTGTTCCCTCCCCTCTTCCCTCTATTTTGCCATTTAGACTAGCAGTGCTCCTATATACATTTAAAATAAATCTTCCATCTGGCAATGCCATAGAATGCAAATTTACCCCAAAATTCAGCTTACAACACTAACTTGATCAGGAAAAATAGATACTGTATCTATTAAATACGTATTTACAGTATGCTCATAAATCTGCAATTTCTAAATTACAGAGTAGTACTGGATGAGCTGACAAATTCACATTGTAGAATGGCTAACACTTTAATATTAGATATAGTATTAAGGGTGATGGGTGATTAAGAAATATGAAGCATAAATGGATAAAAAATAGGCTTCTATTGTTATACAATGATGCAAGGGACACCTTTTTCCTATGATGTTTTGTTACAGCCAGAGTTCTAGCATCAAACATAAAGGCCAACCATAAGTTCTATCTCATACTAAATCCAACAAGCATGCACTCTTTGCAACCTTATCCCAAACCTTGGAGGGTGATTTCCATGTTGATCTCACGAATCAGAGATCGGAATACTCCTGCCAGATATTGATTACAGTTTAATTTAGAAAAGATACATTAAACATTTGGGTTTTTCTTGACATTTGATTGTGTACTGTCAGAGTATGCAAGTAATATTACAGTTAGTTAGTGAGGGCAGGAAACATTGGAGAAATTAAAATAAGCCCTTCCAAAAGTGCTCTTTGCACAATGTTTTCATTCTTCAGTGATAGCTAAGCCCTAACATGTGACAAGAGTTCCTACAATCTGATTAAGTTTTTAAAGCTACAAACACAGAAGCCATTTCAGCAACACCCTTTGATGGGGAAAAAAACTGCACCAGAAGGGGAAAACTGCACCACCCCCTTCCCCTAGGTTGCTATGCAATTCTAATTTCAGTTTATTACAGCTTACCACTGAATTCCTATGGCTTTTTTTTTTTTTAATGTAATGGCAAGAATGAGTTTTGGGCACATACAAGATATTCGATGGTCAACAGTGGGCATATGTAGACTGCTACGTAATTCTGTTGGTACCTAAGGTCCTAGGTTAATTCCTCTCCAGCCTCCCAGGAAAGGCCTGTTAAAATAGAGGGGAGCTTTAGCTTGGAAAGCTTTAGAATTAAAGTGTTTTTGACCGGCAGAAACAGCACCAGCCCTTTGCCCTGGCCGTCTCCCTCCAAGGGGTCCCTAGCCTGTTGCCTTCCAGATGTAATGGACTACAACTCCCAGCGTTCCCTGCCGAGCATGACCGAGAAGAGCATCAGGTTGCCTGAGCTTTAGATCCAACGGGGAAAAGGCTGCGTGTCTGTTCCTTTGCACGTGCCCAGAGGGCTCGCTTGTTTAGCTTCGTCGCGCGCCTGTAAACACCCGGGCAGGGCTAATTATTATGAGGCCACCTCATCACCTCCTCTCCACGAGCGCGCTTAAAAGCAGCCGCCTCATCCCGCCCCCGCTGCACCTGCAGCCCTGGCTGTCGGCGTTAAGGTTGACGAACCGGCTTCCTCTTGACTCAACCCCCGCCCCCCCCCCACACACACCCGAGTCCCTTCCCACCCAGCGGGCCGCACCGTTAGCTATGAGCTTGGCGGAAAGCTGCTTGACGAGTTCGGGGATCCTTTCCCACTGGCACTCGGACCGGCACCTCTCGATCTCCGACTCCAGCCGCGAGCCCCCTTTCTTGGTCGCCATGGCGGGAGCAGGCCCAACGGGCAAACCCCGCAAAGCGGGGACCGGCCGAAGGGAGGGGGCGCGGCAGCTGCGGCACCGTGGCAGCGGGCGCCTTTTCGGCGGCGGAACGAGCCGGGCTGCGGCCCCGGAACGGGAACCGGAGGGGCGCTGAATGCGGTTCGCTGTAGCGCCATCTACCGGCAGCCAGAAGGATGAGGCGGGGGGAGGGAGGAGTGGGCGGAGCAAAAGAGGATGCGCGGCTCCCGGCATTGTTTGGCGGGAAAGGAGAAAGGCTGGTGGCTTTCGGGCGATTCCGCAGCCATTTAGCTCTTCGTTTGCAGTTGCGTCCCCGGCATATCCAGGGGGAAATATGGATAAACAGGTTCCACATAGAGATTATTTACACGACTGTACTGCCAAACTTCAAGGATTCTTCCCGGAGTGGAAAAACAACTGATTATTATTCTTGCAGGGAGAAGATGTACAGTGTATCCAAAGAAATTTAGGAGGATTCCCACTGAATACAGGAAAATTTTGCTAAGTGAGAAAATTGTTTTTTTTTTATTGAAAAAGTTTTAAAACAAACACAATTTCCCCACAACCCTCCCTCCCAACCCCCCCTCCCCCTCCCCGACTTCCCAGAGCAGAACACAAGGTATTTCTATTGACCTTTAACAATAAACTAAATTGCATAACCAATCATTAAACTAACACCCCCTTAAAAAAAATTCTTAACCCCCCATATATAAAATCCTATTTCTTAAACATAATACTTCTAATATCACTTATATAGCGCTTATACAAATAAAAGAGATCATTCATAAGCTATTTGATATTTTTTGGTCTGATACTTATTTTGTATATAATCAATCCATCTTCTCCAGTCCTGTATATACCTTTCTTGTGTGTGATCCTTCAGATACGCTGAAATTTTAGCCATTTCAGCTAAATTAGTTACTTTCAATATCCAATCATCAATAGTAGGCAAAAAGTCCTTCCAGTGTTGTGCTACCAACAATCTTGCTGCTGTTATCAAGTTCAAAATCAATTTAGTCTCTGCAACTGTACAGTCCGTAGTTATACCCAGTAAGAACAACTGTGGAGTAAATTTCAGTCTCTTTTTAAGAATATTCTGCATCACCCACCAAATCTTTATCCAAAATGAAAGTGAGAAAATTGTTAAATGAGTTTAGTCCCATTTTACAACCTTTCTTGCCACAGTTTCGCTTGCTAAATGAATCACTGCCCTTGTTAAGTTACTAACATGGTTGTTAAGTGAATCTGGTTTCCCCATTGACTTTGCTGGTTAGAAGGTTGCAAAAGGGGATCACATGACCCTGGGACACTGCAACTGTCAAATGTGAGTCAGTTGTCAAGCATCCGAATGTAAATTATGTGACCATGGGGATGCTGCAATGGTGATGTCATTTTTTCAGTAACTTCAAACTGTCACTAAGCAAACTTGTAAGTCGAGGACTACCTGTATCACATACTAATAACACTATTATATAAGACACTATTAATGAATAAACAGGTTATACATTTAAAATTGGTTTTAATTGCACTGTGCTCTAATAGTTTTTTTAAAAAAATATTATCCAGACCTTGCAATACAATGCAAATATATATTAGATACTCTAAGTTTTTGTACATTATTTGTCTTGGGCAGTCTTCAAAGTGTTAAAATAACTTTTTACTATACAAATATTAGAGGAATTATTGGATGCAAAGGTACATACAGTATTTTGACACTAAACTACAGCAGCCCAGGGTCAGCTCTAGCACTGGCAATACATGGTAATCTACCCAAGGGCAGATTCTATTCTAGTTATTCTAGTGCTTGGCTAATAAGAGCTATATCATACAATTGAGACCATAGAAGGGTCTGTAGCTTAGGGTTGAACTGTAGATTCCTTGGTGCTCTCTGAGCTTGGTTGTTTGCAGATGCTTCATTACCCAACTAGGTAACATCATCAGGGCAAGGAAATGTAGATTTTGTTCTCTGTTTACATACAGTAATTTGCTCTGCCCAAAGTTCATGAGAGTATGTTTTTCTCTTTGGTAGTTCCTTAATTAGTATTTTTTTTTTATCAAAGATCAACATAGTTCCTTGATCAATAAACTACCAAAGAGTGATGAGAACAGGGGTTTGTAAAAAAGTAGCCCTCATGAGTTTGCAAGTTTTCCAATAGCCTAGATTAGGGGTCTGCAACCTTAAACACCCGAAGAGCCATTTGGACCCGTTTCCCACAGAAAAGAAAACACCGGGAGCCACAAAACCCTTCCCGTGCCTTCTTGAGCAGCCACAAAACTAGCATATATAGTTGAATTAAAAGTTCTGTTTTCTTCTGAGTTGGATTTATCCATAGGTGGCCTAATGGGGGTTGAAAAGTTCAATAAATTGCATGCCGGTGGATGTCACACATTGGCAGTTGTGGCGCATATTTTGAGTGACAGGGAGCCGCAGCAGAGGGGTGAAAGAGCCAAATGTGGCTCCAGAACCTCAGGTTGCTGACCCCTGGCCTAGACTTCTGGGTTGGGAAGAGGATGATTGTTCATGGCATCTTTGTAATGATCACATAACTTGCTCTGGTGGTGTCTCTGGACAGCAATCTTTTCTCCTTTCTGTTTGTTTTTCTTTGCAGCGTCCCTTCCCTGCCAAACAGAAGATGTAATGAATGTATCCCTTTCTGGGTGTCATATCAGTATTTACTTTGCACCTTATAAGACTAAGCCACTGCTAGTTTTCCATCCCAATAATAACAGTGTTCCTTAAAAATGTAACAAACACTAATACTCTGGTGGTGTGCATTGGAAGACCAATACCCATCAATAATTCAGTAAATTAAATTTGTAGCATTTTATACATAGTCAAGTTTATTGTTTTGAAGGTAAAACAAATATATCTGAACATACATAGTCTCGCTTTTAGCATAAAATCCACACACAAAAAACATTTCAGCAAATTTACTGAAGGTAAAAATATTTTTTGACAATTACAAATTCCAACTTGATTTCTTTCTAAAGTTGATGCAACTCATTAAAGACTTGCCAAATGATAAACATTAAAAACACAGGTAAAATGCATGCATATTTGTTTTATATAGCTATGTCTAATATTGACAATTCCAGTAAATATAAAATAACTTAATTTGTTAATTGAGGAACTGATGAGCAGCAATGTTAATTGTGGCAATAAAGCATCATGTAAAGTTTGTGTTTATGGATATTATGAGTAGATGCACATATCACATAAAGTAAGCCACAACTAAAATGAAGAGAGATTTCATGGATTTTTCTTTCATGAAAATAATTCTTTAAGAGCCCCTGTTCCAGTCTGCATAAGTTAAGACTAAGTTCTAGCCCAGCTAGAATGAAATAATCCAAATAGTTTAAATGATTACCTTTTTTGTATATAAACCATATAAATATTACACTTTAGGAAGAAATGTTAATAAATGTATTTATAGTTTATATATTAGATTTACATTGGAAAAAAAACTATATATTCAATAAGAATCCAATAAATGAATAACATTAAAACGTATAATAAGATGTAATGTTTAAAAAAAGTGTTTGCATTATTAAAAAAGTTTATCTTATTTTCTGAAATACTATCTATTTGGAACATCACAAACAAAGTAATAAATTAAAAAGAAATATTAACAGACATTTCTACATCAGGCTCATTTGACAATGGACTGATCACCTGAATAGAAACTTAAATCAAATATTTCTCATCAAGTCAGCCTGTTATGGAAGAAACTGCTGTCTCTGGATGAAAAATGTAAAGAATCTACTGGTTCCTGTTTTGGAACTCATATAATGAGTTCATGTTAGAGTCAGCACCTGCAATATACAGGTTTTTTTTTTAAATAAAACAATGAATAAACATGACTCTTTATCTTTAAATATTCACTCATATTTACCTCAAAACACTAGGAAATATCTGGGAATTTTAGTTATAAGTCAATAGTTATAACAATTTAATTAATTGACTCCAAAAGTTTTATACTGCTAGTAGAACACTCTCACTGACTGATTTGTTCTTTCTCTTATTTAACCTTTTAAAATTTTATTTCATATTTTAATAAATTGCCTACCTTGGAGTACTTCCTTTTAATTCTTGTTCTTTTGATTGATTAACTACATAACCTCTGCATCAATCACCAAACCAATCATAATATAAAACACTCATCTTTTACTGATACACAATCCATGCAAGTGAACCACAGCACATGCTTGGAGGACTAAAACTCTGAAAACACCTTATACATATACCCTAAATTGGCAACCTAATTTTCTGAAGAAAAGAAAATAATCAATTCACAAAAAAGATATGGGAAAATTAAATTAAGATTTAAACAATCAAGTTTAATGACAAATTCTTTCAAGGAACTAGTTATCCTAAAAATTTTCGAATCCTGGTAGGAGTAACCAGCCAAAACATTCAGAGAAAGCTAAGTATAATTATCTACATATTGCAAAGTCACCATGTATGTACAACAATTTTTCTAGGCAATGATTATGAGTTAAATTCAATGTCATGTGAACAGCTTCAGTTTATGCGCTATGTCTTTTTACCTTCCCTTCCTGCAGCCTCTGAATGCCACTTCAGAACTACTGTGAAAAGTCCTCTACTTTTTTGCAGCAGACTCAGTGACACAGGGATGGGGTATTTTTTCTGCTAGTGCTTTTTTATTTGAAGTAATTTATTTAAATAAATACTTTTCAATGTACAGTATAATTTTTTTTAAAAAAATAGTGTCTATTCAGAATTCTTCTATTAATTTTCAGATCAATTTCTTCCACTATGCTATATTAGTCTATAGAGTGTTATTATATATGAGGTTTTCTTTTACAAAAGAAAATTAAAATAAATCTGAATTAAATAAATCTTAAAATTAAAATAAATTTGAATGATATATGCAGCATTTCTGACCTTGATTCCTATTTGCCTGGTGCAAAATTTTAAAGTCAAAGAATAACATTTTTATGGGTAATAAATTATTACCTGAGTTATCAACAGCATAACTATAGTGTAGTAGTAAACCTTTAGGAAAAGGGTGTAATAAGTATCTCTCTGCTAGACTAGCTAAAGATTTATCCTTTTTAAACAAAGAAAAAATAAAAATCACGAATTTATCATTTCAGTCAACGCAAGTTGTTTAATCCCCAACAATGATAAAAGAATAAAGAGGCTATATCCAGCATCTCCCACTGTCTTACTTTTCTACTAGCAGGATAAAACATTATATACAAGAAACAGGAACGTTGTTTAACTCTTGCATTGATCATTTTATTAATAGCAAGAAATAATTTGGTTTATTTATGTGGGTCTGATTGTGAAAAATATAATACCATAAAAGAACTTTGAAAACATAGCTGCACATGTACCATTTAATTTCTGTTATTGCTCCATCAATTCCTCTAATTATACATACCGATAGACAAAAGTATATAACTGTAAATAATTAACGTTTAAATATAGTACAAATTTATGAATAGACATGTTATAAATAATAATAATCAATTTACACTCGTTTATGCTTGTATTCATGAAAATCTTCTCCCCAAAGTTATAGCTCATCAAGCTTTCACAATAGCTGCCTGTGGAAGAAACAATGGAAATATATACAAAATCCTTTTCCTGAGAAATGCGAAACCATTACTTTGTGATTTTCATGACATCCTACCAAATTTTTAAATTTTGATATTTTAAAAAATCCATTTTAATTTCTCAAAGATATTAGATATTAAAAATAAATTGTCTATACCACATATAAATTCAGTTGCATCAGAATTAAGCTACTAAACTGTTGACATTTTGTTTAAAAATGTTTTATTCCGTGTTCATTTTGAAATGGAAAGTGGCATATCATAACAAGATATTTATGTAATTTACTGAACACACCATTTCCATCTCTTCAAGATACTTATCTGTATTATCGGAGAAAAATGTTTGAAATGAACTATATATACATATATCCCCTTCATGGATCACTGCCTTGTTATGGAGAAGGGGCTTGCGTAGCTCAATGAACCTATGAACTATGCCGTACAGGGCCACCCAAGAGAGACAGGTCATAGCAGAGAGCTCTGACAAAATGTGATCCACTGGAGAAAGAAATGGCAACCCATCCAGTATCTTTGCAGTGAAAACCTCATGGACGGTACCAAAAGGCAAAAAGATATGATGCTGGAAGATGAGCCTCTCAGGTCGGAAGGTGTCTAATATGCTGCTGGGGAAGAGCAGAGGGCTAGTACTAGTAGCGCCAGAAAGAATGAAGCGACTGGGTCAAAGCCAAAAGGACACTCAGCTGTGGCTCTATCTGGTGGTGAAAGGAAAGTCCGATGCTGTAAAGATCTATACTCCATAGCAAACTGGAATGTAAGATCCATGAAGCAAGGCAAGCAGGACATGGTCAAACAAGAGATGACAAGACTGAATATCGACATCTTAGGAATCAATGAACTAAAATGGACAGGAATGGGTGAATTTAATTCAGGTATACTACTGCAGGCAAGAATCCCTCAGAAGAAATGGAGTAGCCTTCATAGTCAATAACAGAATAAGAAAAGCAATACTGGGATACAATCCCCCAAATGACAAGATGATCTCAGTTCAAATCCAAGGTAAACCATTCAACATCACAGTAGTCAAAATCTATGCTCCAACCACTGGTGCCGAAGAGGATGAAGTTGACTGGTTCTATGAAGCCCTACAACATCTTCTAGAATTAACACCAAAAAATGATGTCTTTATCATCATGGGGGATTGGAATGCTAAAATAGGAAGCCAAAAGATAACAGGAATAACAGGCAAGTTTGGGCTTGGAGTACAAAATGAAGCAGGGCACAGGCTGGTAGAATTTTGTCAAAAGAATGTGATGGTCATAGAAAACACTCTTTTCGAACAACCCAAGAGACGATTCTACACATCGACATCACCAGACAGTTAACACAGAAATTGATTGACTATGTGCTCTGCAGCCAAAGATGGAGAAGCTCTATACAGTCAGTAAAAACAAGACCAGGAGCTGACTGTGGCTTAGATCATGAGCTTCTCGTTGCAAAATTTAGGCTTAAATTGAAGAAAATAGGGAAAAGTACTAGGCCACTCAGGTATGAACTAAATCATATCCCTGATGAATATACAGTAGAGGTGACAAATAGATTTAACGAATTAGATCTGATAGAGTGCCTGAATGGATGGAGGTTCACAACATTGAACAAGAGGTAGCAACTAAAACCATCCCAAAGAAAAAGAAACGCAAGAAAGCAAAACGGCTGTCTGAGGAAGTTTTACAAATAGCTGAGGAAAGAAGGGAAGCGAAAGGCAAGGGAGAAAGAGAAAGATACACCCAATTGAATACAGAATTCCAGAGAATAGCTAGAAGAGATAAGAATGCCTTCTTAAATGAACAGTGCAAAGAAATAGAAGAAAACAATAGAATAGGGAGGACCAGAGATCTCTTCAAGAAAACTAGAGATATGAAGGGAGCATTTCATGCAAAGTTGGGCATGATAAAGGACCAAAATGGCAGGGACCTAACAGAGGTAGAAAAGATTAAGAAGAGGTGGCAAAATTACACAGAACTATACAAGAACGAGCTTAACGTCTCTGATAACCACGATGGGGTGGCCACTGACCTCGAGCCAGACATCCTGGAATGTGAAGTCAGATCGGCCTTAGGAAGTCTGAGCAACAACAAAGCTAGTGGAGGTGACAGTATTCCAGATGAGCTATTCAAAATTTTAAAAGACGATGCAGTAAAAGTGCTACACTCAATTTGCTAGCAAATTGAGCAACAGCAGCCACAGGACTAGAAAAGGTCAGTTTACATTCCAATTCCAAAGAAGGGCAATGCCAAAGAATGTTCAAACTACTTGTTATGACCTAGGCCCAAGTAGTTATTACCAGACACAATCAGTCCTAAACAAACATATTTTATTAGAACAGCTGAGAATTACTTCATTCTCAGCTTAGTCCAAATTAAGTCCAAAACAAATCCTTCATAAACAGTCCTTCGGCCTTATCACAAACCTTTGTCTTCTTTGGCACCCTGCCAAAGGCTTTTCTTGGCAAAACCCAAGATGCCGACAAGAAACAAATGTAGCAACGTTGCTTTCCTACAAAGATCCCAAGAGTTGTTGCTGCTATTTGAAGCCTTCTGGGAGAGGCCAATCATCTCCTGGCCTTACTCCCGAGTCTTCCTTTTTGCTTTAGCTGCTCTTGTCTTCTGGCAGCTCTTTGCATGCATGCATTAGGAACAGGCTCCTCCTGTTTCTCTGCTATCTGCCTCTGGAGGCTCCAGAGTCCGCGCATCGTTCCCAGATGGCCCTGGCCCCATCTCTGCCTCTGATGCAGAGCCCTTGTCCGGGCCTTCCCCTGATTCCAGAACTGGCCCATTGTCCTGCCCAGCCTCCTCACTGTCTGACTCTGCTGTCAGCTCTGCAGGCTGCTGGCGGACCACAACACTACCGCACCATTGTACTCATTTCACATGCTAGCAAAGTTATGCTCAAAATCCTACAAGCTAAGCTGCAGCAGTATGTGGACTGAGAACTACCAGAAGTACAGGCAGGATTTCGAAGAGGCAGAGGAACTAGAGATCAAATTGCCAACATACGCTGGATCATGGAGAAAGTTAGGGTGTTCCAGAAAAACATCTACTTCTGCTTCATTGACTATGCTTAAACCTTTGATTGTGTGGATCACAACAAATTGTGGCAAGTTCTTAAAGAGATGGGAATACCAGGTCATCATATCTGCCTCTTGAGAAACCTATATGCAGGTCAAGAAGCAATAGTGAGAACTGGACACGGAACTACTGAATGGTTCAAAATTGAGAAAGGAGTTCGACAAGGCTGTATATTGTCACCCTGCCTATTTAACTTATATGTAGAGCATATCATGAGAAATGTGGGGCTAGATGAATCACAAATTGGAATTAAGATTGCCAGGAGACATATCAACAACCTCAGATATGCAGATGATACCACTTTTAAGGCAGAAAGTGAAGAGGAACTAAAGAGCCTCTTGATGCGGATGAAGGAGGAGAATGCAAAAGTTGGCTTGAAACTCAACATTAAGAAAACTAAGATCATGACATCTGGCCCTCTCAATTCCTGGCAAATAGATGCGGAAGAAATGGAGATAGTGACAGACTTCATTTTCCTGGACTCCAAGATCACCACAGATGGGGACTACAGTTAAGAAATTAAAAGATGCTTACTCCTGGGGAGGAAAGCTATGGCAAATCTGGACAGCATACTAAAAAGCAGAGACATCACCCTGCCAACAAAAGTGCATATAGTCAAGGCTATGGTTTTCCCAGTTGCATTGTATGGCTGTGAAAGTTGGACCATAAGGAAGGCTGAGTGCCAAAGAATTGATGCCTTTGAACTATGGTGCTGGAGAAGACTCCTGCGAGTCTCTTGGACTGCAAGGCAATCAAACTGGTCAGTACTAGAGGAGATGGCCAGATCCTGAAGATGAAACTCAAATACTTTGGCCACCTAATGAGAAGGAAGGACCCACTGGAGAAGAGCCTAATCTGGGAATAATTGAGGGCAAAAGAAGAAGGGTACGGCAGAGAATGAGGTGGCTGAATGGTGTCACTGAAGCAGTCGCGTGAGCCTAAATGGACTCTGGGGGATGGTAGAGGATAGGAAGGCCTGGAGGAACATTGTGAATGGGGTCGCGATGGGTCGGACGACTTCGCGACTAACAACAACAAAATACATGTATAGAAAGTAAATGTAATTTACACCAAATTAGTAATGTAATATATATGCACACAAATTAAGATCTTTGTGCTCTCAGCATATATAAAGAATAATCTAATCTTCAGTTTTCAATATTGTACTCAAATTTTAACTGATTGGGTCCTCTGAGTTTTGGGGGTTTTTTTGCAGACATTTCATTACAAAACTAGGTAACATAATTTGTATCAATGTATGCAATTAGCAACCCAATCCTATGTCTACTTATTGAAATCTCTCATGGAGTTCAGTGATGCTTACTCATGAATAAGAGTGCAGAGAACTGCAAGCTAAATAATTCATTTCTTTGAAACTCAAAGTTGTGCTACTTCACACAAAAAATTTAAGTCCTTTTAAATAGTTACCAATGCAAGATACTGTCCTGTCCAAGTTTGGATGCATAGTTTACAGAAATAATTTGAATGTCTAACACAGTGTAGAAGTCAAAATATATCTGATAGAAAAACAACTGATTCTATGTTTTACATATCTTGAAATTAAGATGTCCACAAAAACTCAGTAAATAACATAAAGATTCACATTATGTTATTTTTCTAAAATTCTTCATGAAAATATTCTCAGGCTTTTCTAGGGTTTTTTTTTTCAGTTTCCCTAAAGAAATATGTAAGAGATTTCTGAAAACTATAATAGATATGATTATATAAAGAAATTAGTTTTTATAGAAAAGGAGTATTTGCATAGGATTTGGATTGTTCATTCTACAATACAGCAAGGTATTTCTAAAATCTACTAAGTGAGGTTAATCATGCCAGTATCTAGATATAAGCTTAACTTTATACAAATTGCCTCACTAATTACCAATAAGGCTACTTCCATATTTTGTTTGCAGAACTGCAACATGTGAGCTATGGAAGAGCTCTGCATATATTTATAAATCATACTTCATAGTTTAAAATATTACCATTTAAAAATGCATCAGAAAAATCCATATTTATGAATCCAAAATATAACCACAGTGGAAAATTTTACTATAGTAAAACACAGTGTAGAGATATGAAGCACAGTGCTTGACAGAATATCCCCTTAATTTTCTAATGTATAAATGCATTACAATATACTCCAGTGTGAAACGGGCAAACTCAGATATATTATGTCTAGACATGAAAATATCAGAAAAATGTATTGCAAGATTAAATAATATAAGAAGCTCATAATTCTTATTGAAATTGCTACAGCAAATTACAGCATCTCCAAGTTGTACTCACAATATCATTGTTACTTATCAAATACAATTATAACACCAACTACACAGATGTTTGATACAGAATAAAAATCTCTTGAATATTAAGCTAAAACCCAACTGCCAATTAGCTTAGTTTTTTGATCCGCGTGGTAAAGGAATATAAAATTCTCACAGAATAATTTTCTTTCTCTCTTGCTCACTCTCTCTCTCTCCAAGTCAAGTTTTAAAATCCCAAATAATTTTTCTTACTAGAAAAAAGTGGAAGAAATAAAGTTTTATATGGTCTCCAAGCTATCACATAAATTAAGTTGCTGCTTATGTGTTATGCAGGAACATCTTCATATGCTGAGGAAGTGGCTTGTGTGTATGTCTTGCATAAGAAAATAGCTTCTGCATTCAAGGAAATAAGTTATTTTTGATCCTGGCAAATATATTGAAACACATCTTTGTTGAGGATTTTATACACACATGAATTTGTAAATTTGTACAATAAAATATATCTTATATAGAAAACTTTCTCTCTCTCTCTCTCTTTCTCTCTGTATGCATGCACATAGGTATATTACAAAGAAAACCAAATGTAATGAAAAGACTTGCAGATTTATGAGAACTTGTGAAAGTCTAAACAGGAGAGGACCCCAGTGCAAGATTATGCCACTGGATTACAGACATCTTTTAAAAACTGTTGGAGATGCATACATATTAAAATAAAACATTTTATATCACTTTTTTGTTTTTTGAATTTTGATTCTGGCTACAGTCACAGTGGTATTTCAACATGTCCTAATTTCGCCTCAGACTGAAACAACAAAAAAAAATCAGAAGGGACAATTTGTAAACATAACTCATTATTGTATTAAAAAGAGCACAGGCATCAACAAATTTCAATTACTATTCAAGAGAACAGATCTTCAATCAGAGAATTGAAAGATATTATCTGAATTATTGCTATCTGTAGGATGTGTTGTCTGTAGTGTTTTTGTAGGGGTAGTTTTACCATAGGACTGAGAGGAAGAAGAGTGAGAACTTTCACTGGAACTGCTGCGGGTCTCTGTGCTTGTGCTTGTCTTTTTCATCTTTCTTCTTTTTGCAAGAGGTGCCTTGTCAACGTTCTGGAGGCAAAATCCTTCCCTTTTGTACTTGTTAAAAGCCTATTTAGAACAGCAAAAACAATTCTTAGTTCTCTCTGGTTCCATCTGATCAACCTTCAGTCTCCTCTTATATGTTTTTTTTTCCTAATCAGCACAATTTCCCACTGGAGGATTTCTTACAGTTAATTTCAAAATCTTCATATATTGTTTTATAAACACCCAGAAAAAGTATTCTTTCAAATGCATCTAGCCCTTTAAGTTAGTTTTTAACTTTCCAATATCAACATTCTAATCCCTCTTCTGCTGTTATTCCAAAATTAATTTTTTTCTGTTCAATCCTTAAACATTCTTAAATTTATTTCATCCTGTAGAAACTCTTGTTGTGATACAAGTAGCCCTTCAGAAGGCTATTAACCTCCAGAAAATCAATAGTAAGCAACAAACCTAGCATCTGTTTTGAAGGAACCGAATCGTGACTTAGGCTGGGTGATTTTCTTCTAGCTCCTAGAGATCTCAAACTGGTTGGCAATTGTTATTCATTATTTCTCCTCCTGATAAGACTCTGTATGGAGCAAACTTGTGGGAGATCTTAGTTCTCGCCTTGATTTGGAAAGGAGTTCTGAGGAGCCAATCAAATCACTGGCTCTTCCTACTGCTGTGGTTGTCAGCCGTGTTCTTGCTTCCTCACAAGTGTGGCCTGGCCTATCATGAGTGCTGCATACCAATGATAGATTTGATCATTGTCTTTGCCTGTTATCAACTGCAAAACACACCTAGCCATTCCAGAGACATTTGAATTTTTGATCTACAATTTAGCTAAATATGAATCCTAAACAGAGAATGCCAAAGAGTAGACTCTAAAAAGAGACTTTTTAAAAAAGGGGTATGTATATAGGATTGAATAGAAAACCAGTGGGGAACCATAGGTTCTAGTCTTATTCTAGGGATGAATTCAAGTGGGTGATTTTGAGCTAGTCACTCTTAGCCCTAGAAAGAAGGCAATTACAAACAACTTCCAAAATGTTGCCAAGAAAACAACATTGATTCATCCAGGTAGTTAGCAGGAGTTCAGACTGACTCAAAGGCGAAGAAGGAGCAGAAGTGAAGCAGCAGAAGCAGGAGGAGGAGGAGGCTGAGAAAGGTTGGGAGCAAAACATGAAAGGGTGTTTAAGGCAGGGGTGTCAAACTCGATTTCATTTGAGGGCCACATCAGGGTTGTTTGAGACTGGGAGGGGGGGGCGGGGGGGCAGAGTTACTCATGTCAGGGTGGCCTGAATCCTCTGCCAATGAAAATGGGCTCCCGAGCTCCGTTTTCTACTGTGACAGCCTCCTGAAACCCTCTGCCAGCGAAAATGGAGCTCAGGAGGGCCGCCTGCGGGCCAGTCCCTTGCGGTTTCCAGGGCAGCCTTGCAGGCCACATCTAAGCACCCCACCGGTCGGATCCGGCCCTCAGGCCTTGAGTTTGACACCTCTGATTTAAAGTAAGATATACTATGTCTTAGAGGTTTTTTTCCTAGCTGTGTATTCTTGTTAATAAGTGTGACTACACTTATGAAAATCAGGGTTTAATTAGATACTGAAATTCAGACAGAAAATGCATCTACTTATATTCAGCTTTGTTCTGCCATTACATTAGGATAAACTTTTTACTGTTTTCTCACTTGAGGCAGAAATAGCCAACCTCAAATTATCTTCTGGGAAGACCTAACTTTCTGGAAAAGTCAATAATGTTGGGAAATGACATTGAAGGAAGAAGTAGAAGAGCATGGCCAGTCCCAAGGTAGCTAGAAAATTATAGGGGCAATGGTGCAATGTTGGAAATCTGAAGGATCAGATTGGGAACAGACCCCCAAAGGAGAAAATCTATATAATTGCTCAGTCAATACCATCACTGAGAGCACATAAGCCATCAACTGATTTCCTCGATAGAGAGACAGCCTGACTCAAGTGAAACTGAATCATCTTCAATTATCTTCTGGCAGAATCCAGAATATATAATTTTAGTATAATTACTACAATTGAAAATTATTAGTATAAGAAAGCTGACATATGCAGATTTCCATCCTCAATGGGAATTGTATATAGCACCTGTTCATTTTTCCCTTCCTACAAACTATTTCTTTTGTCCAACAGAAAATAGTAAGAATATTTCATTTCATAAAGATGGAGAAAAAATATGCTAAAAGAATCAAAATAAAGCTTAAATAAAAATATTTACCTTCTTAATGCAAACTGCATCTTGCCTTAAAAGTAAATGATAGGCTGACATAAGAAATATAGTTTAATTTAGAGAAGTAATGTGAACTTACATTAAAAGTTGCCTTGACATGTATTGAAGTTCTTGAAGATCCTAAATTGTCTGGAGTCATTAATGGGTTGGATGACAGTTGGCAACCATCCTGAAGCCAATCATTGTGTCTCAAACTGGTCATTTTAATCCTCTTATTTGGATCCACTGTAAGAAGTCCTAGTATGAATGCATGAGATATTTTAAAGTAACACACATTATCTATTGAATGTTACTTATTTAACATTCATTTCTAAACATTTATAACTTAAATACTGGCAATTGGGTTTTTTTTTAATGGCTGAATTTATTAATCTTTATTTTAAATGTATATACTTTGATATTCCTATTACCATGTTTGCCTGAAAACATGACCTACCCCGAAAATAAGTCCCAGCCTGTTTTTTTTACATGCACCTAATGTAAGCCCTACCCCAAAATAAGCCCTAGTGAAGGGGGTGGCCATGACCAGTATAGGAGGCGGCGAGCGTGCACGGGCCAACAATGTCTGGCAGCAGCTGCAGCCCATGCAGCATAGGTGAGTTGAATACCTGTGCAAGCAGCAAGCAGAAGCAGAGGCAGGGGGGAGGCAGGTGATCTGGATGCGCCGTGGGAAAACTAAACGTGGGCCGAAGCAGGGGGCAGCTGCAGGAGGCTTGTCTTCACACAGCAATACCAACAGCAGACAGAGGCACGGGGAAGAAGCAAGTGATCTGGACATGCCGCGTGGCCCATGTGAAAACCGGCTGTCCATGAGAAATGCCATCTTCATGTTTCTCGACTTGCCTGTAGCCCATGTGGCGCATCGGGATCGCCTACCTTCCGATCTGTATCTTCCACTCTGCATAGCCCCAGAGTGCACCAACCAAGGGACCATCGGTCCCCGCGTTCTTGCTGGCTTGTGTGTGTGTTGGGGGGCAGGGCGCCCAGCCAGGCTGATCACCCTGAAATTGTGTTTCCTCAAAAATAAGCCCTAGTGCTTATTTTGGGGCGTAAAAGAAAATAAGTCAAGGTTTTATTTTCAGGCAAACGGGTATGTAAACTTATTACAATGAAACTTTATTTACAGAAAGGTCACAAAATAATATATTAAATAGGTTAAATCACCTTGTTAATTTTAATTTAGAAATGTCTATGTACATTTGAAACTTTTTTAAACATACAAATTTGAAAGGCGGAAGATCTGAATTAGATTTTATAAAAGTAAAAACTTGAAAGAATAAGGTATGAAGCTATGTTAAAGAAACAGAAATCTAATACAGTACATAGTTTTAAGTTATTCATTTATACAGATTGTGCTAGCATCCTCAGCAAATATTTTAGTAATTTCCAAGAATTAAATTGGGCCAAACTATTTAATTCGATTTTATTTCTGCTTTTTAATTTTTGTATGTATGTATTTTATTGTTGGCTGTTCACCGCCCTGAGTCCTTTGGGAGGAGGGCGGTATACAAATCAAATAAAAGTAAAGTAAAGTAAAAGTAATATCTCCATCTTCTTTTGCACTGCCGGGTCTATGCGGACATTTACCACCAGCTGATTACCTTTTTATTATTTATACAATATTTCTGGGGCCCTTCCAATAATTTTTATTTGCATTATTTGTTAGATAACCAGGATAATCTATATCTCTAAAAGTAGCAAAATTTTGCTACATTGCTTGTAAATTCACTTACAAAGTCATTGATATTAGGAGTTAACTTTGCTTTATTCATTTTAGTGAATGTATTTTTATTAGTCAATGAACAAAATAATGTCTGTATGTCTATCTAATACTCCTAAGAATTACTAGATAAGTCAGTGATCCATATATACCTTGTATCAAATCTTTGGCTTCCTGAGAAACATTTTTCCAAGCATCTCCTTCAAATGAAAATTCCCCTCTTTTAATTTTCTTCATCGTTTCCAAAACATTTGTACATATTATACTGGTATCTTGAGACTGAAAAGGTATTTGTCCTGAAAGCATTGTATACTTTTCAGGGGGGGAAATGAAATGTTTTAAATGATTAATTACAGATAAATGCAATTCTTATTTATCATATTTGTGTAGATATACTATAAATAGCAATCGGCCATTAAGCAAGGATTATCTACAGTATAAATGAAGTATCATTTTCAGAAGTTAAAGTATAATTGCTCCAGTCACATTTTTTTCATAAGAAAGAGTACAATCTTATTACACTCTCATCTTTTATAAAAAGTGGTTAAGTAAAATGCCATTGGTTGTTCAGCTCTGCTATTATAATTTTAACAACGGACTATCCAGACAAAATATGCTTCCTCTTAATTATTGCCGAGATCTGTACCCAATCAAAGATAGTATACTGAAACAAATTTAATTGTAAATAAGACTAGGTCACCAATTACAAATTTGACTGAATTAAAGGATTTACTATAAACTAAATATGTCACCAGGCTTATGATCTAATTCAAGTGAAATCAAAATTGTTTCTGCCATTTTCTCTAGCAACCAAGGCAAAAAACCCTAAGTAAATTTATTATGATGATAAATATATTTAATTTTATTATTTTCAGATATTTTACTTACTAGGCAGTTAGTCTAAATATTTCTGAATGTGATAGGTGGTTAACTTTTATAATACTTGACCTTGTTTTCAATTATAATTTTGTTAGATAGTTTTTGTTTCTATAAGGCTGTGGATTTTAGCCAATTGAATTGCAATATACTTTTGTTAGCCTTTTCTGCTAGATCTAATGAAATACTTCATATTCTGCTCAACGTTAATGCTGAACATTTATATACATCAAATACTATTAAGTTTTCCCATTATTATTGTTATCACTCATGCTTGATTACCTCTTTAAAAATACCAAAAATACTTACCAAAATAACTCCCAGACTCCAGAGATCACAGGATTCATCATAACCATTATGATTTAAGAGTTCTGGAGCAGCATAATGAAGGGTAAAACATGGAGTTCTAAGAGGCTGATTGTCTGAAGGTTTTAATCGGGCAAATCCAAAATCAATTATTTTTATTTCTGAATTATCACTTTCATCTGTGAATAACAAATTCTAAAAAAAATTAGAGAAGTAGAATTAATTGTCTCATTATAGCCAGTAATGCTGAAATGATTTTATTTTACCGATGACAAAAGGTACCGTAACTCCATGTTATATTTTATATACTCAGGAAATCTTTTCTCTAAAAGCCAAGAATGAAAAAAAACAACCTAAAGCAATACAGGCATCATTCAGAAACCACTCATTCAGCAACCGTTTGAAGTTATGATAGCATTGAACAAGGAGACTTATAAACTTATAGTTCCTCATAGTTGTAATCTTTACAGCGTCACATGATCATCATTTGGGCACAGTGCTCTGCTGCCATGCTTTTGCCATTTGCAATCTTCACTACCAGCTTCCATTAAGCAAAGTCAATGAGGAAGCCAGCAAGGAGTCACAAATGGTGGTGATAAGATCACAGGATGCCACAGCCATGTGAAATTCACCTAACAACAGCAATTGAAACTGCTGCTAATGCCATCATAAGTCTTGTGATCATGCGGCATTGCTTAGTGATGGAGCTCCCAGTCCCAATTTCCATTGTCAAATGAGGACTACCAGTCTAGTGAAAAGCAGGGCTAGGCATGCTTAAAAATGATTTAATAAAGTGGCTCAGACCTCAAATGAGTGCAACACCTCTCAGCTACTCAATAAACTAGCTAATAATTTTCACAGGAACAAATACAGCTTTAAGAAATACACTCACTAAAAGTTAATGCAACTCTTAAAGCAGCTTCAGTTTTTTATGCTCATATGGAAAACTGAAAAAAGCTGCTTTAATGAGTAAAAGAAATTCTGTGCAAATAAGTACAGAAAAAAATCAGACAAAATGATTAGACTTATTTAAAGGCTTCTTAAGAACAACTGAGATCTATAAACTCAACTGTTTATTCAAAGCAGTATCTTCTATTTCAATTTAATTTGTTACCCCTTCAGCATTGTAGAGCAGACCAGGAAATAAAACTCACAGAAAGGCTAAAACTACTTTTATTGAGATTGGCTTTAATAACAAGCCTGTGCTATACCTGCTTCTCATTTCTCTGGATTTAAAAATGATTCAACCTCTTTCGCTAGATAACGGGGAAAAGGGCAGGTTAAAAATATAATAATAACAAGAGTTCTTATATATTGCCATCAAGGTCATCTTCCTTACTCCCTACACCCACAGTAAGTCTTTGCCTAAGCATAGCTTTTCTTGGAGGATGACTTCAAATAATTTTCTTCTACGTATAGAAATATTCCATTAGCAGAATGGTGTGTTTCGATTTGTCCTCTACAGCCATACCTCCCACAATTCCAGTGAAGTGGAATTTACTAACTTAGAATGTAATTTCTATAGTTCTAACATTAAGCTGGAAAACAGTGCATGTATAATGGACACTCCATTTAATAAATAAAACTAATAAAAATACACAGAAGGCTATACAGGTAGTCCTCAACTTACGACTAAAATCTCTGTTGCTAAGTGGGACATTTGTTAAACGAATTTTGCTCCATTTTACAATCTTTCTTGCCACAGTTGTTAAGTGAATCACTGCAGTTGTTAAGTTAGTGACATGATTGTAAAGTGAATGTGGCTTTTTCATTGACTTTGCTTGTCAGAAGGTCACAATAGGTGAGATCACATGACCCCCACTGCAACCCATCATAAATATGAATCAGTTGCCAAGCATCTGGATTTTGATGACATGACCATGGGGATGCTGCAACAGTCATAAGTGTTGTGAAAAACGGTCATAAATCACTTTTTTCAGTACCGTTGTAACTTTGAACGGTCACTAAATGAACTGTTGTAAGTCAAAGACTACCTGTATTACAGGACAGGCGAGTAGGCAATTGACTAAAATGACACCTCTCATAACTCACAGGTTATGTATCTCTTATAAGAAAATATTACCTTACTATTGATAAGTTGTCCTTATCTTAATGGTTTTATAAATATTTTATTATGCTTTTATTTATATCAATTACTAAAAAATACAGCTATAATAAATTGATAAAGTAAAGGAGAATTAATAAATTAATATGAAGGGAGGAAAGGTGAATATGGTCAGACTTCGCAAGCTTCACACATTTCCTAAATTCATACCTCGGGTTTTAAGTCTCTGTGCACTACTCCCACATCATGCATATGGCTCACTGCAGAAACTAATCTGCGCATGATGTAACTAGCTTCAGTTTCACTGAAGTACTTCTTTTTCTGGATGCGTTCAAGTAATTCTCCCCCTTTCAGTAGTTCCATTACTAGAAACGTATGGAGCTAAAAACAAAGATAATTTTTAGAAAAATGTATTTCTAAATGTAGAGAAAGAGAAATAATTAGTTGGACAGATTTACTATTCAATTAAAATACAGTACAATTTTGAAAATTCTTTCAAGTGATATGTTGTAATGTATTTCCAGGAATCAAATCAGCTTCCACCATCAAAATGGAACAGATGATTCTTCTATCACACCTTCCTAAGTTTCAGAAGAACCCACAAAATTTATTCTAGAGGCTTAGCTCCAAAAACAAAATCTCAATGAGCAAGTAAACGTCTCATCATACACCATTGGATTCTATACTCTTGAATTCCAACAACTGAGAATGTGATATGATTTGGGTTATTTGGTAACTAACCCTGGAAATAAGTTGACACATCCTGATTAAACAGCACATTTTGCTGTTCTAGATAAAAGGTTAATATTTTGAGATTAGTAAACCCTATAGTTTAAATAATACCAAAGTAGCTCCTCCTATAATTATTTCATTGGATACGGCCAAAGGCTAAAAGTTACCGCAATACTGATATTTAATTTTTCCTTTGTTTCCCTTCAAGATCATTTAAAATGGATTAGAACGTTTTAGTCCTCTCTGAAAACACTTTTTACATAGTATTATTAGACGGGGAATATAACAGGTCTTCAATAGTTAGGATGAAAAAGGCAGCGCCACATTGCTAAATACTAGAGTATTTCTATCCAGAATTGAGAAAGGGGTTGAATTTATACTGGCTGACACCCTTTCACCTGACTGAAACCAGCTGGCTTCTCTCCAACAAGTAAAGTGTTGGTCACAGTAGCTTTACACTATAATAAATATATTCATTTCTTAACAGAGTAGCTGTTCTGGCAGAGTCTATTAGTGCCTCCCAACACAACATAGAACAATTATTAATTTAACTGAAGAGATGAAAATAGAGTTTTGAAAGTTAAAACATTTCCATAGAAAGAACTAACACTAAAAACCTTCAGTATACTGTCTTATTTGTGTTCCTTTCATTTTCATTTACCATAGCATGTTTCTAATAATCATACCACCCTCTCTCGCTTGCTTTCTAAAGATTATGCAGAGCAAATACAGAAAGCAAAGCATAGTGTAATACCTGATCATGATAAATTTCATGCAATTTCACAACATTGGGATGTCCTTCACAGAGTTTTAAAGCTGTAATTTCTCTCTGAGTGTTGACTTCTAGCCTGAAAAATTAAATCAGTGAATATTATGATAAAACAAATCTGTGATTTTACAATGCCATCTTTATAAATTAGACTCCAAATTTTTATTAAAACATTTCCTAAGATGTAAACAATGTTCTTTTAAAAGCCACATCTTAATATAATGGTCATCCAACAGTTTTCAAGCTGTGACAAAGGAGAAGGCTAAGATCCTTGTTACATTAAGAACTTGTATCTTTGTATTCTTCACATTGTATGATTGAGGGTAGAAACTGTTTCTTTTTCTTATCTTTATCAGAAAGGGTGCAGTTCTAGTCTATTCTTTGTTGGGCAGATCCTACACTGAGTACTAATTTCAGCTCTAAGGACAATATTTAAAAAGGATTTAATCCAGTGGTGAAATCTTCCCTGGTTTGCCACCAGTTCACTGCCCGCGCATGCACGGTGCACGCCAAATGTGTGCGCTGCATGCGCGCATACATACCAAATGCATGCTGCACGCATGCACAATACACACCAAATGTGCACTTCGTGTGGAAAAAGGAGGCTTGGGAAGGTAAGTAGAACTGCAAGGGGGGGATGGCTGTGCCGTGCGATTTAGATTCGCTAGAAAGCAGGATTTCCTGCTTTCTAGTGATTTTAAATCGCGTGGCACAGCTGTTTGTCGGAAATACCAGTTTGCAGGAATTGGTAGCTTTTTTTACTACAGGTTCACCCGAACCAGTGCGAACCGGTAGCATTTCACCACTGATTTAATCCCAAAAATATAAAAATAGAAATAGAAATAAGAAGACATTGACTTTCTGTAGGCACGAACTAGATGTGTTCAGTACTCAAAACAGAAGACTGATGGGTCAGAATAGATCACTCTTGAACCATCTGAAGGGATGTCCAAAAAAACTAAAAGCTATTTTCTACTATCTTAGAATGCAACATAGAGTAATGAACACTTAATTAGAATATTCCTCCCTGTAACCTATTAGGGAAAACCTCCTAAGAATAAGAGCAGCTTGATAGTGAAACCAATAACTAAATAAGATGATAGGCTTTCCATCATTAAATGGATCAGTTTTTTTCACTCATTGAGCAGTTGGATGGACTTGATGACTCAAATTCCCTATCAATTCAGGGTTGACGTATGTGCTATAAGTACTTAAAATGTTTCAATATTTTTATATAAGACAGTTGTTTGTTTCAATTAAGCATAATCTTTTAAAGCATTAAGAAACATTTATTTTGTTAACTAAGTAAAGTAATTTGAGATTCTCCTTCAGATGCCACTAACCTCAGAATGGAGGTGAATGGCAGCTTGTATGAAGATATATACATATGTAATCATCATGCTGCTCCCTTTTAGAGTAAGCAAAGTTTAGAAAGGAAGTAAGAAATAGGAGATTGGAAGTTTAACAAAATGAGATACGAAAAGGAAAGAGAATGTAGCACTTTCCCAGGAGGGCTTATCTAGCCACTGTGTTATTTTTTTATATAGCATGCTTCTTAATTTCCCAGACTTTACTGTAAAATTATGATTCTGTTGCTTCAGGTTTTCATCCAAAGCTTTTCAATTTTAATTTTGCTACTGTCCCATCCTGTTTTCTTGTATATCTTAAACTGTTCAGAGAATATTTAAATTGCAGGGTTTCATAGAAATTAACATTACATTAATTTTATTTTTTTTATTTTTTTAAAAAAAAGAAATAATCTATTATTGAGGTTGTTGAGAGCGTGGTGGCACGACAGCTTCCCCGACACCTGGATGAAGCTATCTATCTGGACCCGTGCCAGTCGGGCTTCAGGCAGGGGTACAGCACAGAAACGGCATTGGTGGATGATCTCTGGAGGGCTCGGGACAGGGGTTGCTCCTCTGTCCTAGTCCTATTAGATCTCTCAGCGGCTTTTGATACCATCGACCATGGTATCATGCTGTAGCGGTTGAGGGGGTTAGGAATGGGGGGCACCGTTCTGCGGTGGTTCTCCTCCTTCCTCTCCGACCGCTCGCAGTTTGTGTTGGCAGGGGGACAGAGGTCGACCTCGAGGCATCTCGCATGGGGAGTGCCGCAAGGGTCGGTCCTCTCGCCCCTCCTGTTCAACATTTATGTGAAGCCGCTGGGTGAGATCATCCGTGGTTTTGGGGTGAAGTGTCATCTGTACGCTGACGACACTCAGCTGTACATCTCCACCCCAGACCACCCCAACGATGCCCTTGATGTGATGTCTCGCTGCCTGGAGGCCGTGCGGGTCTGGATGGGGAGGAACAGGCTCACACTCAACCCTTCCAAGACCGAGTGGTTGTGGCTTCCGGCGTCCCGATATAGTCAGCAGGTGCCATCGCTGACTATTGGGGGTGAATCTTTGCCCCCCACAGAGAGGGCTCGCAATCTGGGTGTCCTCCTGGACGCACGGCTGTCTTTAGAAGAGCATATGACGGCCGTGGCCAGGGGGGCCTTTTATCAGGTTCGCCTGATTCGCCAGTTGCAGCCCTTTCTGGACTGGAACGCCTTGCACACAGTCACTCATGCCCTTGTTACCTCCTGGTTGGACTATTGTAATGCTCTCTACATGGGGCTCCCCTTGAAGAGCACTCGGAGGCTCCAACTGGTCCAGAATGCGGCCGCGCGGGTGGTTATGGGTGCAACCCATTGCGCCCACGTGACACCCCTCCTGCGCGAGCTGCACTGGCTCCCAGTCATCTTCCGGGTGCAAATCAAGGTGTTGGTCACCACCTTTAAAGCGCTCCATGGCACAGGACCCGGGTACCTTCGAGACCGTCTTCTGCCACCGATAGCCTCCCACCGACCAGTCCACTCCCACAGAGAGGGTCTTCTCAGGGTGCCATCGGCCAAGTCATGTCAGCTGGCGACACCCAGGGGGAGGGCCTTCTCTGTGGGAGCCCCAGCCCTGTGGAATGAACTGCCCCCGGAAATTCGTAAGATTTCTGACCTCCGGGTATTTCGCTGCGCATTCAAGACCCTGTTGTTCCGCCAGGCTGGGTTAGCAACATAATTTTAAATTGGATGTTTTAAATTTTTGGGGTTTTAAATTAAGCCAAATTTATTTAATATTTTTAAATTATTTTAAATTGATGTTGATTCTGTTTTTAAATAGGTTGTACACCGCCCTGAGTCCTTTGGGAGAAGGGCGGTATAGAAATAAAATTAATATTATTATTATTATTATTATTATTATTATTATTATTATTATTATTATTATTATTATTATTATACCTCTTACTGATTATTTTTACTGCATATTCACATCTAGTTTTCTTGTGTAAGCATTTTCGACAGATGGAAAAACTCCCTTCTCCCAGTGGTTTTTCTTTTAAGTCCAGCTCATAATGGAGATAAAATGGAGAGTCCTGAAATGAAATATTTCATTTTATTTATTAACAGTTACTGAATAAAATAAAAAATAGACAATAGTAAGCATATACACTTAAACGGCATATGCAAAAGGAACTTACTTCATTACCAGATAGTTTGGGCTAAAAGAAAATATGTTTATTAACAAGTTGCCTATTCATCAGTGCTTCAAGCAGTATTAGCAGAGGCCGGGTATATTACTGTGTCCATGTATGCCCATGACACTGGTTATATTACTGTGTATATATACTGTTTATAAAATGTGTATTCATTATACATTCTGTATTCATTCTGTATTCATTCAAGAATATACAGGCAAATCTACAGAGCTTTCTAAGCTTATTCTTGTGGTATGAAAACATGCATGTAAGAACTTCCCTGGGAGACCTGGATAAAGCTTATTTCTATGCCTTACATCAGCTTACTAGATGCACCCATGTCAAATGCCAGCTAACAAGCAGGATATGAGAGTTCTACTGCTATTTTTTTTTAAAAATTCTATTGCTAAGTAGGTTATTAGCAAAAGTAGCCCAGATTAAAAAATATTCTTGTATACGCAGCAAAGAAAACTATTATTTAGTTTTATATTTCACATTAAAATACATTATGTACTGTAGACTTTTTATATGTTTAAATGGTTAATGGTTATGACTACCTTCATCATAGCACTTCTCGCAATATTTGTAACTCCAGGTTGGTTATGTTTTGTCAGAAAATAAACAGGATCCATAATGGCTGCATTGTGTTTGAATAAGATAGAAGGAGCAACAAAAGAATATCCCTAAAGGATAAAGAAACCAAACATCAGTTACGTGCAAAATTTTAATTATCTAATTTTAGCCCTAATGTCAATATTAGGTTAATCATGCTTGGAAAAAAATTACAACGATCACTGTGTTGAACACTGCACTCTGTTAAAATAAATCATGCAAGCATAGTTAACTTAATTTCAATAAAATACTTTCATATTTTTTGTTACACAACCTCATAACAGTTAAATCACATCTTTCTAATGACAATTAACAGAACAGTGGCAGCAATACAGCATTCAAATTGCAAAGGCTTTCTGGAATATCTTGGTTTTTAATGCTTTCCAGAAGACAATTACAGTGGCTTCTAATCTAATATGCAAAGAGAGTCTATTCCTTCAAATTGGTGTTGTGGTAGAAAATGTTGCCTTCTGGTTTCAAACCCATACACTATCTCATTGAAAAATAGGATTATCAAAAGTTTATTATTCAGGCTAAATGAAGGCAGTCCTGGAGATATGTGACCCTGGGACAGTGCAACTGTCATAAATATATGCCAGTTGCCAAGCACTTGAATTTTGATCACATGACCATGGGGATCCTACAATGGTGGTAAGTGGGAAAACTGGTCATAGTCACTTTTTTCAGTGTTGTAACTTTAAATGGTCACTAAATGAATGGTTGTAAGTCGAAGACTACCTGTAAAACCAGAGAAACAAGAACCCCTTGCAATAGAATTTCTCCTCCGCAATCATTTATATTGAAAGCCGCTAAGAGATCAGGAAGACCCAGGACTGTCATGCCATCCCTAGCCCACTTGTGTTATCCGCAATACAATCAATCCTGTCTCAGTATTATACCTGAGCCTGAAACACAATTAAAAAGGATCCATAAAGACTGCTTCTTCCAGGGCTCCCTGGGTTAAAAGCCCCATCATCTTCCCCCAAACTGATGCAGTTAGAGACCAGCCAGAAATTATCTAACAATGTATTCTTTACACCTTATAGCTTCTTGGTGGTCTCCTCATTTTATTTATTTATTTATTTATTTATTTATTTATTTATTTATTTATTTATTTATTTATTTATTCATTCATTCATTCATTCATTCATTCATTCATTCATTCATTCATTTATTTATTTATTTATTTATTTATTTATTTATTTATTGGTTCGATTTATATGCCGCCCTTCTCTGGAGACTCAAGGCGGCTTACAATGCGTTAACCATAGCCTTCATACTTTATATTCCTGCTTAGTAGGGCTTTCACACACACACACCCAGCGGTGTTCTTTTTTATACGAAGTCAGCTTATTGCCCCCACAAACCGGGTCCTCATTTTATCTACTTCGAAAGGATGAAAGGCTGAATCAACCTTGAGCCTGGTGAGATTTGAACTTGCAGTAATTGCAGGCAACTTGTGCTACTTAACAGCACTTTGGTTTCCTGCGCCACCAAGGCGCATATGCCTCATGTAGAGGACACTATCGTACTAATACTGGTGAATGAACAGTTTTGCATTTAGACATCTTTCCTAACCATACCAGCACGTTGCTAAAGGAGAGATCAGAAGCTGGGACCCCAGTGAAGTAAGAATTCTCTTCAGTGGGAATGTACAGCGCACAAAGCAGCAATATGTTTACTACTTTGAAATGACTCTTCATCAGTTGCAATAGCCCTGTCACAAGGATAGGCTGTGATCGCAAACCCCTAATTCTGTTATAGGAGAGGGAATCATATAATCATAGTATTGAGATTTCACTGTTGTCCGGAAGGGCCCTACAATACAATCAGTTGTCCAGTGTCCCATTCCCAAGTGTGGGCAATGGTACACCATCTCCTCATGATTTATTGTTTTGCCACTTGTGTTATATAGTACTAACCTGGAACAATTACTTTTAAGACAGAAACCAGAGAGGAAACCTATGGTTTGTTCTAAGTTTTTATTACAGGTAGTCCTTGACTCATGATTACAACTGAGCCCAAAATTTCTGTTGATGAGAGACAGTGAAGTGAATTTTGTCCCATTTTATGACCTTTCTTGCCACAGTTGTTAAATGAATCACTGCAGTTATGTTAGTAAGTTGTTAAGTGAATCTGACTTAACAAGTCAGTTGCCAAGTGTCTGAATTTTGATCATGTGACCATAGGATGTTACAATGGTCATTAAGTGTGAAAAAGGGTCATAGGTTTTTTCAATGTTGTTGTAACTTTGAACAGTCACTAAATAAACTGTTGTAAATCAAGGACTACCTGTATTGACTTAATCTTGATATACACATTTCAATTTATTAATTCTAAATAAACCAGATTGATTTGCCTGTTTTGCAATAATTATATTTAAAAAGAAATTTATAGTATGTTTAAATATACCAATATACAGTAAAGATTTAAGATTATTTTATATTTATTTACATATAATATATAAAGGTATTTATATATTTTACCTTTTTTTTTTACTTTGTGGATATAGTGTTTTAACTTTTTTCCAGTGCACTCCGCAATTAGATTCTTAGAGCTATCAAATATATAACTACAAGAATTCATTTAAAAAAGAGCTGGTTGGTGTTTCTACAGCTGTTCTATCCCTTACAAACAATATGCTTTTCAAGTCCAACTAGCATTTCTGGATATTTCCTTTAACTTGCTATTATCTTTTACTTTCTATCTCTAAACAATTTGTATTACCTTTCCCCAAACCCTGATATGCCACTGACAGATGATAATTTATACTTCCCCAGCCTGTTTCTACATTTCTGCTTTATTGTTCAAGCATTCCTATGTCCAGTCTGCTACCTGTTCTTTCCACAACTGTCTTATTATAATTTCATTTTATATTCCTCACTTCATCTTCTCTGCAGGCAAAACAACACCAACCACAGAGAAAGCAAAATAATTGTCCTTCCCCTGAGAGGCCATAGAATCTCCCTAGTGCAATCAGGCCATAAGCAAGTTTTCCCAATCTCTGTTACTATTTTAAACTTGTAAAGATTTGCATCTGCACAAGCCATTTTTCTTATTTTATTTTAAAGTTTATAATCCTACAGATTTAAATCATTTATCAATAATGGATTCTCAATTTCTGAAATAATATTTCCTATAAGGGAAATGTTGGAAAAATCAAAATGTAATATTAAATTTCTTTCTCAGTTTTTTTTCTTTGTATTTAATCATTCACTAGTTGTTTCAATCAAACTAATCAATCACTAATTTTATCTCATGCATCACAGATGATGTTAGCTGGCATTTCATTCTTTTATATTTCTTTGTAGTTTATTATATACCAGTTATATTTAATATGATCCAAAGAATGCTACTTTTTTTAAAAAAACCTTTCTCTTAATACTGGAATAGAATTCTGTATGGGAACGCAAGTGATGAGACATGCATATGATGCAACCCACAACATGCATATTTATGCAGACATCAGGTCTGAGAGTGCAGAGTTTGCAATGTTGATGTAACTTCACTTTGCTATTGACACATATGCATGTTAGACACACTCTTCTCTAAAGGATAGTTGTAGCTGACATAGCAGTGATTATTTAGTTTTCTTCTTTATACTAATTTTAATATCTCTCTTCCAACACTACAGTTGACTGTAGTTCAATCATTTGATAATAGGATGGATGGATGCTCTTATTTAATTTGTAACTTATCTCTCCAAAAATTTTAGTAATATTATTATATGGCTGGAATTTTCCAGTTACCTGGAACAGCTTGTCTGCAGCCTCTGGAGTGGTTGCTGGAGAATATGTTGGATCCATTTCTGTAAACTCCTCTGCAAAATTACTAACATCCAACTCATCACGAATTATTGGTTTAAATGGAGCAGACACTTTTTTGGCAGCCAAGTCATTCCAATTTATTTTCTGCATCAATATATTAAATTAAACATAGAAAAGAGTGAACAGACCAAAAGGTAATTGTTTCAGCTGTCAATATAAATTGTTCAGAGAAAATAGATCATGATTTACCTTTCCATTCATATCTATTCAAATATAAGTGGACTTACTCTATGCATAGGATTACAGGATTAATTATGATTTACAGGTTGTCCTGATTTACAACAGTTCCATTTGGTGACCATTTGAAGTTACAACAGGACTGAAAAAAATGAAGTGACCATTTTGCACACTTACAACCATTGCAGCATCCCCATGGTCACGTAATAAAAATTTGGATGCTTGGCAACTGACTCATATTTATGATGGTTGCAGTGTCCTGGGGTCATGTGATCACCTTTTGCGACTTTCTAACAAGCAAAGTAAACAGGAAAGCCAGATTCACTTAACAACTGTATTATTAACTTAACAATTGCAGAGATTCACTTAATAACTGTGGCAAGAAAGGTCAGAACATGGGGCAAAATTCACTTGACAATTCTCTCACTTAGCAACAAAAATTTTGGGTTCAATTGCGGTCATAAGTCGAGGACTACCTGTATTATTAGCAAATATAGTCAAAGATAAATTGCTGAATGGTTCATCATGATCACCATTCAAAGAAACTGCTTAATGAATTACAAATAATGGCAGTAACACTGAGGAAAATTATTCATATATTTTTGAAAAAGTAAGGAGGCATTATTATTGATTGATTAGTCATACCCATACCCATACCCATTCAATATGGCTCCTATAGAGATAGGGGCAATGCCCAAAAGCTCACCTTTTGAGATTACCAGGCTTGTGCCCCATCGAACAATGCAAAAGCTTCATTTATTAGCATAATTTGAAACAGATGTTCTTAGGAAGTAAAAATGGTGGTCTTCTATTTGTTAAGTGTTCCCCATCTGCTTTAAAACCCAAATGGTAAAGGGGATGACAGAGGCAATTGTGTTGTCTTTTACTACATGCCAAACTGTGAAATGATTTACCCATAATTAAAATGTCTTTAAAATATAGAAAGGAAAAACTTATAGCACTTTATTCTAGAACAATTAGCCAAATTCAGGTTAAAGGTTGTGCTGAAATATGTGATTCTGCTTTTGAGGGCACTTAAATACTGTACAGAAGGAATCTGATATCTCTCTCCAGGGATTAGTATCTAAAATATCTAAAAAATATAATATCTAAAAAATAGCCAATATAAAAATGAGTAGTTTATAACAAAGACAAAATTGATTTTACCTTGAAGAAGGAATGTTGTTTGATTTCATCAGCACTCCCTGAACCACAACCCAATCTTTTCTTAGGATCTTTCATTAGAAGGCACTGAATTAAATCTTTAGCTAATGCAGTCATTTCTTGTGGATATGGAGGTTCACTTTTTAATATTCTCCTGAAGTAAAATTATAGTTGATTATTTTGGGAATTCAAAACAATTCTAAAACTTACTAAAATGTATTCATTACCCTGCAATAACAGCTGTAAAAACATACAAGGCAACAAACTGCAGTTAAAATATACTGTATTATTTTTTTAAAAAATTCAAACAGTAAAAACTGTTACTTAAAAGCAGAGATAAACTAGCAGAAATAAAACAACTGCAACCCTAACTTTAGAAAAAAAAATTAAAAGGCCATGTAAATAAGAAATTGTTCTGGTATTAGGGGGAAAAAAGCAAAGCCAATCAAGAAATGTTAGGAACAAAGAGAGGAAGGCCACCAAAAATGGCTGTACTACTTGATCCTAAATTGTAAAACATTTAAAATCCTTGTATTTTTAATTCAACCCTCAAACAAACCAAAATTATAATACACTAGCCAATGAATAAAGCCAATGAAATCAGTAAAGATAATATAATACTGATGTTATATAAGCATGATGCCTAATTTCCAGTTGAAGTAGATACTCTAGTAACCATATTTTGTAAACTGACCCTTCTAGATCATCATCAAAAATAGCTTTAGGTAATTTATTTATCTGACTTATAAGATACTCCATTATCAAAGCCTCAGGGTGACTTACAATGACACAAAACATTAAAATATAATAAATTAAAACATGACAACGAAGTACAGTGCATCCATTCACTTTACAATAATCTACATGAGAGTTTACCTTACTTACTGGTAAGTAAGGTAAACTCTTACTTACCTTACTTACCGGTAAGTAAGGATATCTCTATCCAAGATATAACCACAGGTAATATGCCTGCTTTATATTACAGAGGACATTTTTGCCCCTAATGCTATCAATGTTCCTCTGTGGCAGCTTCTATTTTATGGAACAGTTACCTGGAGATTATCAATTAGAAGGCCCTAACGACAGAAGTTGTTCTGGAGGACCTTAAGGAATGAATATCATTATACTTTCTGTATTATAGTTACGATTTTATCAGATTTTATGTATTTTTACTGTTTCTATGTTATAAACTGAGGGATGCCACCTTTGTTGAACCTAACAATACACAACACAAATAATGACAAGAGATGGGTCTAACATCCTATATGTATTTTGGGGAAACACAATCTTATCCTTTTAAAAACAATTGAATCAAATTAACCTGATACACAAATACAAGGACATCCTCTGATGTCTTTATTTGAATTGATAACTTACCTGGATATGTCAGTTTGTGAATTTCTCTCCCCATCAACTGTAAAAGGTGATGCTCCAGTCAACAATTCATACATAAGAACACCTAAACTCCACCAATCAACAGCCTATAAAATAATTATATATCAACGAAGATTATTAATGCAACTCCTCTAAGAAATAATAAACTATACATATTTTTAAAAATATGAAGTATATGAAAAAAATTAATTTGTAAAATAAAATGTACCAAATGTGAGCTATAGCTTGCATGTAAATAAATTGTATGTAAATTGAAATCTATTGCTATTAGTTCTTAAACAGATAAGATATTAATATTTATTTAGAGTATTCAGACACCAATATATAACAATATTACAATTTGAAAATGAGCTAAGGAAAGTTTTAAATTCATGTGTTTCCCATTACACTCTCCTCTAGTACATATGCAAAAATAAAAATGGTTCTCTTTTTTGATCACAAAATTCTACTCCTTTCAACTAAATAAGGTTTTCTTAAGGCTGAGAGAGCATGCCTGGCCCAATGCCATCCAGCTGATTTGACCTAAATCAAATTAGAACTCATAGCTTTTTGGTCTTAACTACTATACTAAACTGGCTCCCAATCAATAAATACCGGTAGTCAAATTATATTCATTTTCATCAAAAACCTACTTTATCATGTCCTGTATTCCCTCCTCTGACGATATCTGGAGCCATATATTCTATAGTTCCACAGAAAGAATAAGCTCTTTCATTCTGAAAAAAATGTATGAGATTATAGCCAATATAATAACTGATATCACAATCACAGGGGGAAAAAAACAAAGGAAAAAACATATTACTAGGATTTACATCATTCTATTTAATCATCCTCTTCAGACATATTTGGCTCTCTCTGTATAATATCATTTGGACTACATCTTTTAAAACATTTCTCTCTCACTCCACACTCCAAAGGGTAAATCTGATCCCTCCATCTCATCTCAATGGAAAAAGTTCAATACCTGGATTTTCTGGTTTATTTAGAAAGTTACTTAATATGCAGATACTTACTTCATCATTAACAAACTCCTTACTCAGTCCAAAGTCTGTCAGAACTACATGTCCATCTGAGTCAAGAAGAATATTTTCAAGTTTTATATCACGATAGATAATTCCCAACTGGAAAAAAATTAAAAATAATTGTACATTATTGAGCAGAGTTAATTAAAATAAATTAATTAAAATTTGTTGGCATGTAACCATATATTTCAAATATAGACACCATGTTAAATTGGAAAAATGCCTATATAAACAATGACAAAATTGTATTTGCTCTTAAAGTTACATATTTTAGATATAAAATGAAGATATTTTAAATTATTTTTTGCCTGCTTATTAGCATTAAAAAGGATGTGTTTTTCACAGAACAGTAATTATGGCTTTATGATTCAAATCAGTGTAGAATTATATAAAATATGTCAGTAATAATTCTAAGTGGAAGTAGGCATTGCACTGAGCTTGCACAAGTGTATCTGAAAATGAAGCATGGGTAGATGGATAACATCATATCACTTCTGGGGAAGTGTCAACTGAAGGGTTTGTGACTTAATCATAATTCATGGTAGCCATGTCGATAAACATATTCCACAAACTATCACATACAGTAGTGAGCTGTTAAATACAGATTTTTGTGTCTCCTTCACTCAAAGTAAAAACACGATCGTACAATTAAACTAGATTAGATAATCTAATTTCACTTACATTTTTCCTTTCAATAAATTTATTTCAAAAAAGTTGAAAGTATGGTCTCACCTTGTGAAGGTGTTCCAATGCCAAAACAATCTCCCCAATATATATCCGTACCTCATCTTCATTAAATCTCTCTCTTTGTGAAAGATGGGTAAAAAGTTCTCCTCCATTTATGTAATCTAAGATACAGGAAATCAAGTTATATACTAGGGATCTGCAAAATTTCTGAATTGATTCCAAAAATACATTTTATACCACATTGTAGCAAATGTTGCACATACTGTTTTGTTTCTTTTGTTTTTTATCACTAGCCACAGTTGCTTCCTTTGGAAAAATTATTTGGACTCTCACATGAATACCATAAATGTCTCAATTAGAGGCTGGCTTTTTTACTTATTTATTTATAGTTCCTATTTCTAAACTGCCCATCTCCCTCAGACCTGCTTTAAAATAGTTGAAAAGTTTAAAAAAAAACCTCAACATAGTTGCAGTAAAATATAATAATTAAAAGCTTTTAAAAAAATATTGGGACTGTACTTTCTACCAGGCTAAAATTAGGTTAAGTAGTCTTTGCTTAGTTAGCAGATTCTACCAGGATGAATATTTCATGAATCAATTTGTTGTGCAAAGTCAAGAAATTGCAACGAAATAAGGGCAAGAGACTTGGACTATACAAGTTGATCTTCACTTATAACCATTTGTTTAGTGACTGTTGAGATTACAGCAGCACTGAAAAATGTGACATGTTTTCCACGTGACATTGCAGCACCCCATGGTCATGGGATTAAAATTTGGACGCTTGGCAACTGATTCATATTTATGACAGTTGCAGTGTCCCAGGGTCACATGATCTCCTTTTGCGACTTTCTGACAATCACAGTCAATGGGAAAGTCAGATTCACTTAACAACCATGCTACTAATTAAACAACTGCAATGATTCACTTAAATGGTTATAAAATGGGGCAAAACTAACTTAACAATTGTCTCACTTAGCAACAGAATTTTGGGACTCAATTGTGGTCGAAAGTCAAAAACTACCTATAGTAATTAAACTGCAAAATTTCCATAAGACTACTAGATAGTAGCAAAGAGTGATAGTAAATCTAATTAGAAGGCAGTAAAGTGTATCAGTTTGATTCTTTGTGGTAACTGTTCTGTTGTGTATATCCAAAATACATACCATTACAAGGGAGGGAGGGTGGAGCTCATTTCTTAACTGGAACAGCAAATGAAAATAGACCTTATTTTTTTCCCTTCCTTCTATGGTTCTTTCCTTTTTACACTTACCCAAGATGAGATGAAGTTTTGTATCTGTCTGGAAAGCGTAATGCAAAGTGACCAAAAATGGAGACTGTCGAATGTGCTCTAATACTTGTCGTTCAGTCTTTGTATGTTCAGTTGTTTTGGCTTTTTGAATTATTGTTGCCTTTTTTAATACCTTCATTGCATACAATTTGCCAGCATCATGACCACTGATTTTCCTCACCAGAAATACCTTTCCATAAGCTAAAACCAAAAATATTACAAAGGTAAAAAATAGTAGTAGCCAACCTCCCATCACAATTCCACCTCCAGAGCAGAGTGCTCAAATCAAGCTATTTTCAAAATAACAAACTTAACAACATAAATCTTTAAACCCAATGGCATTTGTTTATCTTCTTGATTTGATTAACACATAAAATATTATTTTAAGAGAGCTATGCCCCCAAAGAAATGTAAAATCCTAATCCTTAACAAGAGTCTTAGGAGAAGAAAGCTATCAGAGTTAAAATGGAGCATCTGAAAAACAAGAATATAGTCATACTAATAGGCTTACAAAGGTAATAAAAATAAATCTCAAAACAGCATCAATTGTATAGATAAAATCAACCTTATTATTCTTTTTATTTAATACAATCATTTCCACCTTTGTAAATAAAGATTACCAGATTAATCTCTTGCTTATATTTCAAGGAACCTGAGTATTTTATTTAAGGTACTTGGTTTTAATTTCAAAAAATGCTAGGAAACCAATGATTGTTTTTTTTTCTTTCATGAAGACTTTAGAGAAATATGCTCCCAAACTTTATCAAAGGTACACATTTGAACACTAGATACACTGATTCCTCTTCCTCCCTTTCTGGATCAACCAACTTGCTGATTGAACATGTCTTGGAAAAACAGCCACATACCATTTTTAAGAACATATATATTTTCTAGATGCTCTTTGGATTTTTTCCACTCGTAGCTACTTTGCTTTTTATACCTCATGGGATGACAATAAAATAAAGTAGTTCAGCACAATTTGACTATGCATAGGATGATTCAATAATCCTTTACTAGTTTGCATGTAGATTCAGATTTGAGTAACTATACTAATTCAACTGCCACATGTCTACTTAGAAGGAAGTCCCCCTGCTATTTACTTTGAGTCCAGAACTATTTTATAAGCAGCAGTGTAGGAATGTTATACCAGGAGCTAGGATAGTGTCTGGATGAATGGCACCAGATAGTAGTTGCCTCCTAATGACAGAATTAGTCATATAAAAAAAATTAGCTACCATTGAAAAGCAATTATGATAAGCACGAAGAAAACAGGGAAGTCCTCACTAACTAGTAACTCTCAGGAAGCAACAGGAAGCATATTGGCCAACACCACAATTGTGTTCAGTTACTAACTTGATAAAAACATGACCAATTTGAAAGACCTACTTATTGCTGTGAACTAGGAAATAATCTAATGCTTCATTAATATTTATTTTCTAGATAGTTCTATCATCCAGAATTGTAATTACATCAGGTCCATTCAGGTTTTAGGCAAGTGGATTTCACCTTTTCATAGGCCCAATGCAAACATGTACAGAATCCATCAAGCAATAGTCTTCACATCTTTATAGCACTGTAAAGTATTTAACATGTTTCACAATCTCTACAATAGTAATTCTGTGTTACAAGGTGCTATATTACACATGTTAGGCCTGCGGCTTAAGGGAGAAGAACTTCCCTGTGGTTCCTTGCTAACATGATAGTGGCTACAGGCTTGTGTATGTGCATCCTTATAAATGTTTCTCCTCTTCACAAAAGCACTCTTATGAAGGGCAAAAGTGTGTGTCTGTGCGCTTTTATGAAGGGGGAAGCAGGTGTTTGTGTGCATCCTTGCACACTTTTCCCCTCTCCACAAAAGTGCTTTTGCAAAAGGGAGAACAATGGCAACAATGAAAGGAAAACAGCTTTGCCAACGTCCAAGAAAAAGATGGCCGCTTTTCTGCCACATGGCCCAGCCTATTCTCCTTTCCTAGCTCCACTTCTTGAGCTCTGGATATCTTCAAAAGGTAAGTGAATGATCGGTGATTTGGTGAGGAGGAACACGTGGAACCCTGTGGGCTAGCAAAGCAGGCCCAGTGCCTGTGAGGACCTGGTAGGACAAGATCAGAGGGAAATAGGTAGGAGCATATTGCAGTGTCTTGGTGGTCGGTCGTAAGGGTGAACTTCCACTGTAGTGCTGCAACATATATAAATTCAGGACTAGGTTATAAGTACCTGGAGGGGGTGCATAACTTTGATCTGTTGTTACATGAACTGTCATAACTCGAGGACTACCAGTAATGTTTCCTTCGAGGGTTTGAAGTAATTAAATATAATTTAACATTTATGCATATTACTTTTTTATATATTGTTTATTGATGTCAGAGCCATCACAGAATTCACTTCAGGAGAGATCAGACCTTGGGAACTGATGGGAACCAGAATCTTAGACTTAGCATTGCAAGCAGGGAAGACTTAGAACTTCAACTGAAATACCAGAGCGACAAATCCCAATCAGGATTTTCACTATTTAAATCTGCAAAAGGAATGGCAACAGATCAAACCAGAAGGCTGAGAAGCAAAGAAGCACAAGACTGTAGAAAAAGCTTCTTGAGAATAATTCAGTCACTGTTGCTCCTCACTAGACCAACTCTGAATTGAACAACTGTGCTTCAACCGTGTTACAGCAGAGATTTGAAATATGGAATATAAAACTAAGTATATGGAAATGATCCAGTACTGAAAACAACAGTTTTTTGTTTCTATTACCAATTGCCTAGAATGTTTTTCCTGACTCTTTGAATTGAGTCAGTCTGTACTTGACTTTGCAGCTATTTCAGCCTTTCCAAAATGGATTTGGTTTGCCTGAAATGAAGTCGCCTTGGAAGATAAGTGTTGGAATTGGAGTGGGGAGACCACCTCTAACCAATCTTCATTTATGGATCTCATTGGGTGATTAAAAACTAGGAGGAGGGAGCAAAATTTACACTGCCATGAGCTCCTAATTGAAAAGAAAAATGCAATCTAATAAATAATTAAAAAATTATACTTCCTTGCCTGATTGCTTTAGTTGGGAAGATTTTGCTCTATTGATACCTCTCACTGCCTAACCTACCCACTCAAAATACTTATCTGTAAAATAGAATTTTATTTGGTTAATGTTTTAAGAAGTACATTCATTCTTTATTAGCAACATTAAATAATTCATACCTCCTGTCCCAAGAATTTTCAGGAGTTCGAAGTTCTCAATGCCCACCTTCTCTGTGTGGCCTGTCAAGTTTGCTAACAAAAGAAAAAAACATTCCAGCGTCAATATTACACACACTAACAAACAAACATATAGTAATATAAATTATATGGTATCCATGATTAAGATTCCTCCATTATTCATATAAGATCTATAACACAGCTGTCACTAAAGTGTCATTGTATTCAGATTTCCAGGTATATAACAATTAAAATGAATATAATTTTATTTAAAGTGTATAGATTTTTATAATGAGAATTATTCCATTTCAACTAATCATTTCAAAATGTTGTATGAGTGTTACAATATACTAGTTAAGGTAGAAGGATAAGTCACTGTTGCCAGGATTCAGTTCTTAAATTCTGGATCATTTGCAATTATATATCACAACATTCTTAGTAATTGGATCACTTTTCTGCATGTAGCAAAATTTTGGGTAGGTTTATGTACATACATCACTTGAAGTCAATACATTAAGCCTCTACTAAACTGAAACAGCTAATATTGGTCTATCTGATCAATAAGCAAACTAGAGAATTATCTATTCAAAAAGATTCTCATATATGTTAAAATGAAATAAATATTTTTAAATCAACTCCCATTTAATTTTCAGTGCAATGTATACAGTACAATTATGGTACAATATTATGCTTATCATTTTATGCAAACTAATATGGTTTTAAAGGAAAACCCAAATAATAAAGATACAGTTGAGCTTTGTTATGCATTGACTAATGCAATTGTTCTATCTACCATAACTACACAAGTTGTTCATCAATAGGATATTATGAACTACTTGGAAAAACTGCTATATCAGATCATAAAACCAAATACTGTAAGTTATATTTAACGTTTCATCTTCTTGTAGCATCACACAGAAATAGAAAAGTGAGAACAAAATATTTCAATATTGCATACAAAAATACTGAAGATACATTCTGTAATCCACAACATACTTTAGCTACTAAAATGAACAACATTTATAAAATGAAGGCATCTTCATCATATATTCATTTAATTGGAACTTAGATAATATGTTAAACATAATTAATAAAATCTGCATACACTGAAGTGGTTACTCATGCAGACAGAAATAGAACTTCTTTGAAGAACTTCTAAAGAGAAAAATGGAATCTTGCAGAAAATACAATTATTCTGTTTCAAAAGTGATACATTATATGTGCTGTGTGTGTGTTGCTTTGCTTTTGAATATTCTTGACAGCCCTAGTAGATGTGTTTTTAGATTTCAAATATCCTCTGGAAGCAAGATGATTTAACTGATTAACATACTTTTTTATTTCAACAGTTGCAAAAATCATCTAATAAAATAGCTTTTTTAGAAAACTAATTTTTAAAATGATGTAACAGATTGCACATGAGTTTTCCTTGGTAGGTCATACAATACTTCTACTTCAAGGAAGTATCAGATACCAGTTAGCTTCCATGTGCAATTCAAGGTGCTGCTTATCACTTTTTAAGTAGTTGATGGTTCCAAGCTTGAATGTCTGCAAAACCACTTTCTCTCAATAACATCTCCTTGCCCAATAAGATAAAGAAGTGTAGGCTTACTCCAGGTCATACTCCAAGAGACCGCCATGAGGAAGGGACCTTGTCATCCTAACAATGTAGGGGGAATTAGTATGTTCTCCACTTTCCAATGCATTGAGTTTACTTACTCCTCACAGTTTACTTTTATCATCTAAATCATTTTTCCTCATCCACCAAAGCCACAGTTTCCTTGGAATCACAATAATAATCTGCCAAAACCAGCACCTACCATAACTGAACCCATGCTGATCTTTTGGCTCTTCTTACCAGTTCTTAGACTCAAACCAGCAATTTAGAGATCCTGTCAAATTCTCTATGGCATATTCAAATGCCCATATTCAAATGCCCTGAATGTTATGACAAATAGAGACCCTAAGATACAGAGATAAAAAATATAAAATTTTTGATCCAGATAATATTATTAAAAAAACTATTTTCAGTGATAAGAGTTAAAAAATGTTCTTTATACCAATCTGTATAAAAGAATGTATAATACTTTATCTACAGAATGTTTTCAAAAGTATTGTTTTAAATGATACTATTTTTAGGCATGTTTACATTTTCTGTATGTCAATTTTATCTATGTTAATTACTACTATACAGTTTTTTTCAAATAATATATTAAACATGCTATGTTTAAAAAATATAAGATTTCATTTTAAAGAACATAAAAATATTTCAAGACAATAACTCTTCGGATTTTATTTAGGATAGTTTATTAGGATTGTTGTTGAAATTTTGCATCTTATTGCTGCAGTTTCACGTCAAACTTTTCTGACAACTAATTCTTAACTAGTTCCATCTTTCTGTATAGATGCAATATGATAACAAGTACTTCTGACCAGTTGCTATCCTCTTGGATTAACAAAATGCATCTATCCTCAATTGTGGCTGAGGAGAGGCAGAGAGTATTTTGAAGATCCTGATTGGTTATTAAAGAGGGATATCTTTCCCATTTTTCATCAGGGCTATACAAATGACAATACAAGAGCCACATAAACAGATCTCCCCCAAAGAAGCATACTAAAATTTATATTACATCACATTAAAATTTATATTACAGCCTTTTCTTTTCTTAAGCAGAAAAAAGTTATTACGGTTCAGTATAAAAAGGAAGAACACTGAGCTTGATAGGTAATTCTAGTATTAATTTAAATGACAAGTTAGAAAAAGTCATGAGTTGACTGGGAAATTAATTTTCTGGGAAGTTTTTTAAAAGATTGTATTATGATTGTTGCTTGGAAATATAGCAATTGTGAGCAATTGTCCAAAACATGGGCAATTTTAGGTACAACAGTACATATAGCACTTTTCGTATCTTATTACAACAGTCTCCAGAAATTACAGAACTGACACTAGCCAGGAATTTATTAAGAGATGAACTTTGGGCAAAATGCAGAGCCATTATTGGTTCTTGCAAAAGTTTTTATGTTTTTCCAAGACATCAGCCCCCTCCAGGCATGGGCAAGTGGAGAATCTGGTGGCTTCCTTGGCTGAAAAACGGATGTTCTAAATAGTTTCCTAAATAACTTTTGTTCAGAATGTACAAGAGTAATATAATGGAGAGCCCATGAAAGTTTCAAACCCTTATTTCGTCAGTCCCTTTAGTTACATCGATTTAATGTGGGTTTCACAAGATGCCATCATCTTCATCATCATCCGGATATTAAAGTGTCCACGCTTTTTAAGTACAAGACAGAAACCGTTATCGTTCGCGTATTTCGCCACCGACTTAAGTCTTCGCCTAAGCTTCTTGCTCCGTTCGTTCTCCTCAGGGCCCAGTCGCCGCCCCTTCCCTGGGCTGCCAGCCCCAACACCGCCCTCCTGGCCGGCTGCCCCACGGCATCCCGCTCCCTTTTTACTCCCGAGGCGCCGCTCTCTCCTAAGCCTTTGTTTCTCCCTCGCCGCCCCTCTTTCCGCGCCGTCCTTTGCAACGCCGTCCACACTTTTCTACGCTGACCCACCCTTCTCCTTCGGGGCGCCCCCCCCTTTTTTTAATCGGGGGACTTCTCGTGGGGGTGGAGGGGGGGGAGACGACTCCTCCGGCGCTTCCCGCCCCTCCTGCAGCCTCCTCCCCACCTCTTTAGCTTAGGCGGGCAGACTCACCGTTCTTCAGCTCGTGCCTGACGGTCAACAGCGACGGCTCCCTTTCTTCCTCAGCGCCCCCGGCGGGTCTCTCCATCTCCTCAAAAGCTGGAGGGCCAACTCGGGGGAGGGGGCGTGAATACGTAAAGGGACCCTGGGTCGGTGCCGCCCCACATGAAGGGAAGGAGAGGGGCGTTATTCCTTAGAAACGTACTCCAGGACTTGCTGGTGGTGGAGGGTTCCTGTCTGTTCAAACAAACAAACAAATAAATGGGGCGCCTACAGCTGACAAGCGCGAATTTAACTGCCGCTTAGCGCACTAACCAGGCCCTCCAGATTGCTTCCCCCCCCCTCTCCATTCCCAGAGGAGGGAGAGAGGGAGGGACTAGCGCGCCAAAGAAAAAGCGGGGGGAGGGAAAGAACCTGGAACAGCCAAGAAATTCAATCTGCGCCCCCATCTACTAAAGCAATAAAAGAGAAGGGAGTCGAACTGAACGCTCATTGGCTTGAGAGATTACACTCCAGGCCGGGGATTGGTCAAAGACGGAAACAAAATACACTCCCTTCATCCTAATCATCCGCTAAGAGACACGGATCCTCATTGGTTTAGCGGCCACACCAATCGCGAACGCTGTCCCCCCTCCCCCCCTCTCTCTCCTTTCCCCCCCCACCCCCCACCAATCTTCAACCAATTTAGATCTTTCCTACCTGCGAGTAAGTATTTTACCTCCCTAGTGTAAAAAAGGCAGGTAATCGGTTGCGTAGGCACGAAGATTAGCGCGGTGAGTGACTTAAAGTTCATTGCAAGATCTCTTGGAAATATTGCACATACTGTTTACGCTTTCCAAAAACCACCCATTATTTACGGGCTGCATATATATATATATTTAATTCACGTTAAAAGGAAGGACATGAATGTTTACTGTAAAGAAAATAACTGAAGCTGAGACTGGTAGTTCAAGTGAAGGGCTCCATTAAGGACAATGTAGGATACTCACGAACCATTAATCAAATGCTGAATTCAGTGCTGAATTCCTTGGAAGGCAAGGAAACGAGCCAAATAGAAACGACATTGCTGATCTATTTTTCGTTGGTGTAGAAGTTAATTCTTGTGTTCAGGTGTCTCACTACAAAATAGATCTAGGAGCTGTCATTCCATCCTAAGCACAGAGGGGAGGCTGATGGAAACCCTGCTTTAGCTGTCCAGGGCTTAAGCAACTTGGTAGAAAGAGCAAACTTTGGCAGTGGTTTGCTCTCCAAGCTTGTTTCAAACCCTGCTTTGGGGATAGGACAAGAGTCCAATTTCAGAGTTTCACTGAGATGAGAGCATATTTCTGATAATGGATAATTAGGCCTGTGATTTATTTCCCAAAGTTGCTCAGTTTGAGCAATAAATGAATGAAAGCAAGATAGAAACACTATCTATTTGCAATATTAGCTGATTTATAATTACCATTTTTATGTGATATGAAGAAATATTCTTGCTAGTTCTTTATAAGTTAATTGTTCATTATTCTAGAAATAGTATTCTCATAAAAGAAGAAAATAATTAATACTCATACAGAATATAAAGTTGGGAATTGATCTCTGAAAAGCCAAAGTGAAGGTAAACATACGAAACAGTTCATAAGCAAACTGAGTAAGTGCAATTAAATTCAATATATGACAGAATGTCTGCTGTGTATCTTATAAGAGATATATAGAACGTATTTGAATAATAATTTCAAAACTACTTTGCACTTATCTCATCCTGAAGCCGTAGATGAAATCTGATAACTGATTTTTCTGAAAAAGTTTAGTGTTTTTTTCTTGCTTTTGATATCCTGTTGACTGACAAGCCTGATCGCTGATAACTGACAGTGTAATCATATCGGTACAGATGTTGATTTTATTATAAGTAGTCCTCAATTTACAACCACAGAATTTTTGTTGCTAAGCAAAGTGAAGGTTAAGTGAGTTCCGCCTGATCTTCTGACCTCTTTTTGCCGTGGTTGTTAAGCAAATCATGGCAGTTGTTAAGTGAATCACATCGCCATTAAGCAAATCTGACTTCCCCCATAGACTTTCTTTGCTAGAAACCAGTGGGAAGGTAACAAATTGGCCATCATGTGACCCCAAGATGCTGCAACTTTCATAAATACATTTGTCAAGTACCCAAATTTTGATCATGTAACCATAGGGATGCTACAACAGTCATAATTACATGTACTAGTCATAAGTCACATTTTTTTCACTGCCATTGTAACTTTGGTCACTAAATGAATGGTATGTAAGTTGAAGACTATGTACATGTCATTGGCTTCTGACTCTAGAGGCTCTTTATTTTGTACTGTTACTTTACTATTGTTATTATATTATACAGGTTGTTCTCAGTTTACAATCCTGGGCAGTCCTAGTTATTATCATAAATCCAAAATACACAGGTTAGGTGATGGGCATTACGATCCAACCATTCCTAATTGGCCCCCTCCCAGCCTCAGTACGGTAAGAAACTATTTGCTCTTCAACTCCCCCGACCCACCTGTCTTCCCCTATCCCTGCACTTTGGGCCACCCTGCACAGGAGCATTCCTTGGTGGTAACTGCAGCCCAGAACCTTCAGCAGTCTCAGCTGGTTGCCACTGCCCCCAGGCATCTACCTGCAGCTAGAAGCCTTTACTGAAGAGTGACGCCTAAGGCACTGCACCACAGCCAGCCACCAAGCTCAAAGCCCCAGCTTCCTACCACCTTGCAATCTGCAGTTACTGCTAATTCCAACAACTTCACCATCTTCCTCACACTGCTGACAAGGTACACCCTTTGCAATGTAGCTGTTGGCCAGGCCAAGCCTTATTCCTGACACCACTTGCCCCATTCTCCAAGTCAAACACGGCATTCTCTGAATAGGCCTGGGATGGCGAACCTATGGCACGGGTGCCACAGGTGGCACGCGGAGCCATATTGGTGGGCATGCGAGTGTTGCCCTAGCTCAGCTCCAGCGCGCATGCGCGCACCAGCCAATTGATTTTCAGGCCTTCCAGTCCCACCGGAAGTCGGGAAACTGGCTGTTTCTGGCCTCTGGAAGGCCTCCAGGGGGATGGGGAAGGATGTTTTTGCCCTCCCCAGGCTCCTAGAAAGGCTCTGGAGCCTGGGGAAGGGAAAAAACGGGCCTACCGGGCCCACTGGGCCATCGCGTGCCAAAAGCAGGGAGAAGTATGGGGGGATCACATGTACATGCGCCGGAGGGCGGGGTGCATTGAATTATGGATGTGGGCACACGCACACATGACCCCCCGCGACCCCCGCTTTTGGCACGCAATGGCAAAAAGGTTAGCCATCACTGGAATAGGCCATCTTGTTCTCACAATGCTACAGAAAACTTTTGGAAAGCTTCCAATGTCTTCTGAAACATTGTGAGAACAGGACAGCTGACCCTATCCAGATAGCTTAACCTGTTCTTGCAAAACCTTAGAAGATCTCAGAAGCTTTCCAAAGGGTTGCAGAAGCATCATGAGAATGGGGTACACTATTTGGAGAACAGTGTGACCAGACTTGGGAAGAAGGCCTGGCATAGCCAGAAGCTACCTTGCATAAGGTCAGGTTGGGCATAATCATCAGCAATGGAAGAAAGATGGCAAAGGTCAACTGGACATGGTAAGGCGGTGGCAACTGAGGCTTATGCTGTGGAGCTGGCCATAATGTGGAGCTTGAGACGAGATTTCTCAGTGGTGTGGGGGGCTGAGGCAGCTGGCTGAAATGTCTGAAAACTCCAGAACTCTATTTCAGTTCCAGCCCCATTGTTGCCACCCAAGAGTGCCTCTGCACAGCCAAAAGATCATCAATGGCACCAAACCACAGCATCCTGAGAAGTACCAACAGCTTCATTGTTTTCATGCATAACATGGTGCCCCACAAATATTAGCCATTGATGCAAATATTGGTACTATCTCCGCTCCTAAAATGACAGCTCTGTTTATATTTTAGTTTCCTTCTAGTGATAGAGCATTAGGAAAGAAAAATCAAGTTAATTAATGAGCAGAAAATATTTAGTATTCCACAAACGAGTTTGTGTTGTTGCTATTCTTATCATTGTCTCAGTAGGACATAAAGGTTTTAAACCTTTTAGGAAAATAATTTTTGTTTGTTAGGTAAATTAGTAAAAATACAAAGTATATCTAAACTGATGTTATGCAAAAAAAAAAAAAAAAACCCTTCCAAAACCAAAATCAAACTTCAATGAAATTCTCACATAGATTTCTCTCCATAGCACTTAGTACGTACAAATCCATTTTGGAGCATCCTATAAGACCTCCCAAAGACAGGAGATAGAAGTATTAAAAATATATTTTTCTGCTACAGCATGACTACTGGATCTAATCTATATATTAACCTATATATTTCAGAGTAAAAGCAGCCTAGGTACATAGACAAATAGGTTGAACGTGCTTTAAAATTATTTGAAAGAAGTACTTTGGAGTTTGCATGTAGACAGCAGATCTGTTCATTAAAGCAACCCATCCTTTTTTTAAATACACATGAACATGGAAAAAATGGCTACTGAAAGTAATCATTTCAGGTCTAAACAGTCAACTGGAATCTGTAAATTAAAGTGATTATTTTGAGAACTATAGTCTGAAAACTGAATGTCTATGACATTCTTTAAGGTATTGGAAGAATACTGTCATATCCCTTCTAAGGTTAAAATCTAAACATATACAGGTCCTTCAAATCTTGCATCACTGGACTTATGGTAGTTTCTTAGCTAATATCCTGTTAACAGTCTAATTGCTCTTCTCTGAACTGGTCTAGTTTCTCTAAATCTCATTTAAAGTGTAATGTCCAGAACAGAACACAAAACTTAACATAGGTCAAAGCAGAATAAATTATTATTTCCTGTGATTTGAAAATTTTACTTCTGTTGATGCAGCCTATAATTCATTCATAGTACTATTTTGCAACTATGCCAATTGCTGACATGGTAACTTTCCAATCTACTACCACTTTAAGATCTTTTCAGATAAAAAATACAGTTAGATAAATGAAATACACATAAGCTATGTTTTAGTTATTCATCCAAGTAACAGATACTCTAAAATTTCTGGTTTTTAACAAGTAGATGATACCTGCATAAGTTACTGTCTATCACAATAGAGCTATAAAGTTTGAACCAGTTTAGGGGGAAACAAATAGAAGGAGCAAGAGAAGCAGCCTGTTCTTTAACACTAATCATTTTAAGCCACTTCCAGGAGGGGATGCAAGTCAGATCATGAATTGAAGAGGGGCCATTATATAATTCTACTTTTACAAGGTTTGCTTCTTCTATAATATCCTGGCTTCTTGTTGCTGCTTCAATATATTTAGGAAATATAAAGGAATAAATAAAGGAATGTCTGCATTTTCATCCTGCGCGTGATGGCTTCAGATTGACTCAAGGGATCAACATGTACAGATGGAAAGAGCAAGATACTTTGCCACTAATACAGAGAATCCTGTATTTACCCTCTGAACAAAGGGCAGAGTTTTTTCAGTGCAAAACTTCCTTTCAAAAAGAAAAAAAACCCACTCTTTGCTCCTCAGCAGATTGATCAGGCCGAGATATCTCTCTACTCATCTGTTTGCCAGGAAAGGCAAGATTGTCTATCAGTTCTACAGTATCTACAGTATTGCAAACTCACTAACATGTTAATGTGCCCATTTCTGTAGCATTCTGCTTGTCTGAAAATAAAACTCTCTGAGTCAAATTATGAAATCAAAAGACTTGGCTTATGGAAGGACTGATCAACTGGAAATGCCCCAAATATCAAGGTGATAATATTGGACTGTTGATTTCAGGAAACAACTGTAGGCATGGCTGAAAAAAAAAGAGTTCAATCAGTTGCTTCTCATGAGTATTTTGTATAGAGGCCATTCTACATGATATAAGTCAAATTGAGTAATCCTAGAATCATTAATAATATCATTTCTTCTAAAAAGCTGAAAACGACAGATCCAAAATTACTGAAATGGAATAGTTTACAAGCCAATTAAATATACTTATCTACTGTGGCAACAATTTCCACAAATAACCATACCCATCTTAAGAAGAAGGCGTTTTATCTGTCTGTGGAAATATATAATTTGTTTCACAAATTCAGCAAATTATATACTTTTCCCTTCTGGTAACGTTAATCAGGATAGAAAATTCATTCGGTTCAGTGAGAGACAATACATTGAAGCTACACGTATTAAAAAGGATTATGAATTCATTGTGTAAGGAAAAAAAGCTCAGTATTGTGAACAATTTTAAATATAGTGAATATCAGTCAGTATTGGAATCAAAATTTTGATACGTGTGTTTTACGTGGAATATGCAAGAAACAACAAATGTTCATGCATAGTTTTAAAACTCCACTTACAGTCCAGTTATGAAAATAACTGTCCCTTAACTTCCCTTTGCAACGTATTTTTTGTGGTTCTGAAATGTTTGCATTGTTCTGTGGCTGGTTTGGCAACAATTCTGTTACCCTAATTAGTTCACTTGGTATCATAGAAGAAGTACATGTAATTCACTATGGAATTTGGCATCAGTAGAATTGACTATCAATAAAGAGAGCTTTGCAAGGTAAGGTTATCATAGTTCACTTGCTCACATCCATTTTTCTGATAATACTAGTAAGTGATGAAAAGGACTTCAGCTACTTCTTTAAAAGAGAGGGATTTATGCTTTTCTTGTTGAATTACAGTTCCCATCCTGGCTAGAACTACTAAGGATGTCATTTATTTTTCATCTAAATATGTAAAATATCTGGTAAAAATGGGTAATTCTATATACTTGTAACAAAAGATAGAAAACAAACAATATTCAGTTGAAGTCTTGCTTTGGACAAATACCAGAAATTTTTATTCTTTTAAACATTCAAAATATATAACCAATCATGGATTAAATATTAACTCCTTAATTTTAAAAGAACATCTGTGAATGTTCCATGCTTTAAATCAGTGTTACTGCTTCAGGAATTATTTTCCTTAGAACTAATGACTTCAATGGAATTAAAGGTAAATTTAGACATAAGATCACTGGAAGTTTTTTTGTAATGTTTTATCAGTAGTAGATCCTGAAGCTAGTAATTATAGAATGCTGAAAAGATTATTGAAATTAATCTTGAATTATTAAGGGGCAAGCGTGTGAGAGAGTTATACAGAATATTATATAGAATATAACTTAACACTAAAGGCAATAGCTTTTATGCCATGCTGCTATATGGCTGTGCCATGCTTCATATTTGAGCTCCAAAATCTATTTCATTAGAGAGTGAAGCCATATTTCTTTTAGAAACTAATCAGCTAGAATATCCATGAAGTGGAAGATTGAGCAATACACCATTTCAAAGACAAAGTTCATTGACTAAAATTATAATGTTTAAAATAATGGTTGTTTAAATTTTGATATTCATACATTGTAATAATAATAATAATAATAATAATAATAATAATTTTATTTCTATACCGCCCTTCTCCTGAATTTATACCTGAATTATACCTGAATTATACCTGAATATCTAGGTATAATACCTATCTATAAAACTAAAATATAGTTTTATCTCCCTTTTAGGATGAAATAGTTTTCCTGGCTGGTTTGAAAGGTCTTCTTCCTTCTGCTGTCAGAAATCTGATTCGATCAAATAAACTCAACATTAGCAATACCTCCGGAATGGCAGAAGGTAAATATAAAGGTAGATCAATGAAATCCTTTTGGTGAATCCTCAATGTGTATTATGAAATAATTTATAGTATTTTAACTTATAAACCTGTGTTTCTTAATTTAATCAGTTTTAGTACAAAAAAGAGATGGACTAGGAATAACATTCAATCTGCGTTGTAAACATTCATGCATGAACTAGAAGATACATATGTGAACTGCCACAATTTTGAATACTCTCCCTTTCCCCTGCAGTCAGGAGAAAGGATGAATGGGCATTCTATTCCATTTTGTCCAATTAGTTGTTGTTAGTTGCAAAGTCATGCCAACCCATCGCAACCCCATGGACAACGTTCCTCCAGGCCTTCCTGTCCTCTACCATCCTCTGGAGTCCATTTAAGTTCACGCCGACTGCTTCAGTGACTCCATCCAGCCACATCATTCTCTGTCGTCCCATTCTTCTTTTGCCCTCAGTCTTTCCCAGCATTAGTCTCTTCTCCAGTGAGTCCTTCCTTCTCATTAGGTGGCCAAAATATTTGAGTTTCATCTTCAGGATCTGGCCTTCTAAAGAGCAGTCAGGGTTGATCTCCCCTAGGACTGACCAGTTTGATCGCCTTGCGAGTCTTCTCCAGCACCGGTTTGATCGCAGGAGTCTTCTCCAGCACCATAGTTCAAAGGCCTCAATTCTTTGGCACTCAGCCTTTCTTATGGTCTAACGTTCACAGCCATACATTGCAACTGGGAAAACATAGCCTGTCCAATTAGTAAATCTAGTTAATTTTTAGACAAGACAGTGTTTTTGCTGATCTGATCACTTCAGGGAAATTCCTAGTTGATTATGCTCAAAGTCACTTCTTATGTATAAATTTAAGACTTTTTAAAGTATTTTTTAAAATTATATTTTATTCACATCCCAGCTTTCTGGATGAAAGCCAATCAAGCTGTCTCCGTTTGGAAGTTATTTTTTTAATGTCATTTTCTTAACATCCTGTTAATTAATTATTCTCCAAACTTCAGACTAATATGAAAAAGGAACATCATAGGCAGGTTTTTCCCCCAAAATGACATATAAACTGATTGAACAGAAGACTAATTAATTCATGAATTAATGTAAATGTTTCCCCAAAAATAGTTTATTTAAATTACCAGCATCATGTAGAAATTCTAGTTCAAGTTGTCTTAATTCTCTATTCTCTAATTCATATAAATTAGCATATTCAATTATTACATTTATATGGCAAACTAAACCATTTTATGGTTGTGCTTAACATGACTTTTGAATGCAAACCAGAATTTAAATATTGATTAAGTAATGGTAGCTTAATTACCATACGAATGTATGAGTTGTCATTGTTATTCAATATACCATCCAATTTCTATGGGAATTTTAAAAATATTTTTACATAAAACTTAAAAGAAAAACAGGAAATGTTAGGCAGTTTGTACTTTGCAGCTGTTGTGTAATTTTGAAGTTGTGCAACTCAATGGAATGAGAAGAAGGGAGGGTCATTCAGGTGTTACACTAAACTCATTTTTTGCACTTGGGGCAGTCTATCTTTGCAGTGGCAGATACAGCAAAGTTGCTCACAGTATTCCTTCCTGTATCTTCAGATTTTAATGTTTAGTATAGAGTGAGGCTCTTTTTCTGATTATGAGTTATTTATTTATTATCCTGCTTGTATAATTTTGTAAATAGCTCAAGGAGACAAACATACCTAATAGTCCTTCCTTCATCTGTTTTTCCTACAATAACAATTCTGTGAGATGAATTGGATTGAAAGAGAATAACTGGTCCAAAGTCACCCAGCCAACTTTCATGCCTAAGGTGGGACTACAACTCACCATCTCCTATTTTTAGGCCAGCACCTTCATCATTACACCAAACTGAATCTGCCTTATTGTTTTGTCAGCATAGAATTTTTTGTTTATCCAGCATTTCAACGTTATATTTTACCTATTTCTTACTACTCTATTTCAACTTCCTATGATGGCATCAGGGTGAGTGTCTGGAGTGCAGGCTTACCTTGATGTGATATTTTAATATTAAGTTTTGGTTGCAAATACACATTTTTAAAACCAAAGAAGGTCTGTTTCATGAAATCTCAAATGAATCTTTTATAGATGTGTAGTTTTGTTCCATATAGTATCAACCTTGTGAACTCTCAAGCTCTTCCTCTTTCTGATATGTATTTAAGATGGACAGTGATATATATTTATACACACATACACACCAGTGGTGAAATCCAATTTTTTTTTCTACCAGTTATGTGGGCGTGGCTTGGTGGACATGGTGTGGCTTGGTGGGCGTGGCAGGGGAAGGATAATGCAAAATCCCCACTCCTGGGGGAAGGATATTGAAAACTCTCCATTCCCACCCCACTCCAGGGGAAGGATATTGCAAAATCTCCATTCCCACCCCACTCGGGGGCTAGCCAGAGGTGGTATTTGCCGGTTCTCTGAACTACTCAAAGTTTCTGCTACCGGTTCTCCAGCACCTGTCAGAACCTGCTGGACTTCACCCCTGATACACACATACGTAACATACATATACACATGCTATATACATATATTTGTATGTATGTAAATAGCAGTGGTGAAATCCAAATTTTTTTACTACCGGTTCTGTGGGCGTGGCTTGGTGGGCATGGCTTGGTGGGTGTGGCAGGGGAAGGATACTGCAAAATCTCCATTCCCACCCAACTCCAGGGGAAGGATATTGCAAAATCTCCATTCCCACCCCACTCTGGGGCCAACCAGAGGTGGTATTTGCCGGTTCTCCGAAGTATTCAAAATTTCCGCTACCGGTTCTCCAAACTGCTCAAAATTTCCGCTACCGGTTCTCCAGAACCTGTCAGAACCAGCTGGATTTCACCCCTGGTATATAGCATGTGTATATGTGTGTTATGTATGTGTATACTTTTGAGAGCAGGCAACAGAATTTCAATTTTAATTTGTGCCAGTATGTCCACAGTAAAAAATGACAATAAAGGTTTTCAATCTATCCCCTTTGAGAGATGGTAGCATCTCTGAAAGATTTTGTTCCTGTATTAGTATTGATTTTAAAATGGTGGAAAATATTTTATTCTGTGAATTTTATGAGTCTTTAGCAGGATGTTACCTGGCAATATTTTAAAATCAAAACCAGGAAGAGCTGCTTCTTAGGACAGATAATCAGTTAACAATAGTAATTGGGATTGGAATTTCCATCACTAAACAGTACAATCATAACACATGACATCCCATGATTGTATGACTTAGCGGCAGCAATACCAGCAGTCCCCGTTGCCATTGTTATTTATTTATTTTATTTATAATGCAATTTATATGCCGCCCTATCTCCAAGGACTCAGGGCGGCTCACAACAGTAAAGATGCACAGTTCCTCATTAAAAGACAATATAAAATTAAAATTCCAATTTAAAACAATTTAAAATTCATTAAGAAACCCCCCATAAATATAAATGTAAAAAAAAATTAAGTATTAATGTCTAACAATTGAAACACAGCTGTCACAGTTCTAACCAATGCCATAATTAAATAATGAGCCTCGAGCCAAGCTTCAAAAGAAATCCAGTTATTTATTAGGAGCTTCATGTGGGCATGTTCCAAGTGAAGCCAACTCTGGCCTCACTTAATTCATGCCCCAGCTCTGACGCTGTTTCCCCCTCCCCCCAAGGTGTGTCATCAGTCAGATTCCCCAACGAAACAATTTCGCAGGTTGTAGAGCCCTTCCTCCGGCCACTGTGGGTATCCGTGGAGATGGCCTTGATATAGAAATGGCTGGAATGTGCTTTTGTTTTATTTATTTATTTATTTATTTTATTAAATTTGTATACCGCCCTTCTCCTGCTAGACTCAGGGCGGTGCACAGCCAAAATAAAAAACATCCCAATACAAAAGTTAAAATTTGTTAAAAGAATTACACAACTTTGGCCCAAAATTTAAAACATCCTGACTAAAACCCATAAACAATTAAAAATCTAACATCTTAAAAAAAGGGGGGGGGTTACGCCAGCTCTGCTTGGTGGAAAAGAAAAGTTTTTAGGGCACGGCGAAAAGCCCAGAGATCTGGTATCATGCGTATCTCCGGGAGCAAATCGTTCCAGAGGGCAGGTGCTGCCACACAGAAGGCTCTCCCCCTGGGGGTCGTCAGCCGACACTGCCTGGCGGACGGCACCCTGAGGAGTCCCTCTCTGTGGGAGCGTACTGGCTGGTGGGAGGCTATCGGCGGCAGAAGGCGGTCCCGCAAATACCCAGGCCCTATGCCATGGAGTGCTTTAAACGTGGTAACCAGTACCTTGAAGCGCACCCGGAAGACCACTGGAAGCCAATGCAGCTCACACAGGAGAGGCGTCACATGGGAGCGCCCCCTCGCTCCCATAATCCCCCGCGCGGCCGCATTCTGGACCAGTTGGAGCTTCCGGGTGCTCCTCAAGGGGAGCCCCATGTAGAGAGCATTGCAGTAGTCCAGGCGGGAAGTGACGAGTGCCACTTTTGACTGAACTGTGATTCCCTCGCTGCAGCTGCGAGGCTTGGTTCCCCATCCCCTGCCTATGGCAACTTGAGTGCAGTCAGGAATGCTTCGCGAGTTGACAACAGCATTGTTTAAATGTAAAAAATCAGATACTGGACCAATATATGCCTTCAGTTTACAGCCAGTCACAGTGTAATCTACAGTTTGACCTGGGACCCCACAGTCACACTGAGGGGAGGATACTATGCCCCATTTATAAAGAGATGTTTGTTCTGTTAGGTAAGGCTTACTCTTAACTTAGAGTTATACTTAGAATTCAAGATATTAGATTTAAAAAGGAATACCAAATCTTGATTGCAAAAACAGACAACCACTGCGTGGAAGCAAAACAGAATTTTTGTCATATCTATATACCACATTTGATCTGTGTTACTGTTAAGGTGACGCTGAATTTTATCAAATCAGAGAATATAAGAGTATTGATGATTAGGTTCAATAGAATGCTATTTAAAAGTTGTGCTGAGAACGTAAGTGAGATAATTTATGATTTATCCATATATTTGTCAATTAATCTGAATGTGAGATACCGGTATGTGCATACCTAGCAATATCTAAGCGAGCAACATTGGAGAATGAATTTGGTACAATAGATGATCTTGCAAGTAAATAAACCACTATATCAGAAATATATATTTCACTTTTATGTCTGATTATATCCAAAAAATGATAAATATTTCTATTTGAATAAATAACATTAGATTAAACTTCTGCCTTTTTATATTTACAGGATTTGTACAGGCAAATGTTATCATTATGCATAAATCTTTTGCTGATGACTTTGAAAAATTTTGTCAAGCAAATGATGGACCGCTTCCCTTGCTGTATAGAAGTAAGCCAGGGGAATGGAAATGTCCTTTCTTGAGCAACAGTTCTGATATAAGGTATGTATAGATTTGTTCGTGTTGGAAGCTATCAAGAAATATTTTAGCACCATTTCTGTGCATTCTGCAGAGAACACTGCAGAAATATCAGTTTTTCTATTGTAATTATTATTTTCTATTATTTCAAACTTTTTAATTTTCAAAAGTCGATTTAGGGTTGCGTAGTTTTTATAAGCATGTGAATTATAAGGGAGAGAGAGATTTAAAATATATAAAACTAAGTTGTAATGATTTCTCATGACTCAGGAAAACCCAAATGCAGGTTTTTTTTGTGCAGGCAGAGTGATTCTATTTCTCAACATCTACATACCTTTTAAACATAAGAATTGATCCTTCAATTATCATCTAGATGACAGTGCATCCATTTTACTTAAAAGTATGTCCCATTGAGTTCAGTGACCATTTCTCTGAAAGTAAGTAGATGTTTAGTTAGAGCCAGAAATCAAGTAGCTAGTCCAATGATGACGTTAATTCATTTTGCAGAAGTGACTGCTTGCAATACAAGAAATATGAGCACGGAATATCCACAGGAATTGTGACAAATCTGAAAGAATATTCTGAACAGTTTAAAGACATGGTGACCTTTTATCTAGGCTGTAGTTTTACATTTGAAAAGGCACTCCAGAAAGCTGGCATTCCTGTAAGAAATGTGGAACAGAAATGTAATGTAAGCATGTACAAGGTAAGAACAGAAGAAAACAATTAAAAAAAAAAAAATCCCAAGAAAGTCAACTTTCTTTTTGGAAAAAGCACCTTTGGGACAGTATCTCCTGGAGATCTGCCAGCCAAGTATTACCGTATTTTTCGGAGTATAAGACGCACTGGAGTATAAGACGCACCTACCTTTTTGGGTGAGGAAAAGAAGAAAAAGAAATCTCCCTCTGCCTCTGAACAATTTTGCCTCGTTGCAGCAAACAGCCTGCTTTACTTTTATTTTTGTTTTCAGCATAGCTTGATTAGTACAAGGAAAAAAAAAATCTGCTCCAGCAATTTACCTCTTTGCAGCAAGCAGCAGAGCCCTGCTCAAAACAGCTTGAGAGCAAATCAGCTGAGATTCAGGAGGCTGATCCAATCAACTTGTGCTAATTAGCCTGTGCTGAAGCTGAAAGGAGCTGTTTTTTCTTGCTGTTTGCTTGCAAGGAGGTAACTGCTGCAAGGCAGAGGCCAAAGGGTGGGGGCCATTGGGGTGGGCGGGGCTACATTCGGTGTATAAGACGCATCTAAATTTTCACCCCCTTTTAGGAGGGAAAAAGGTGTGTCTTATACTCTGAAAAATATGGTAATCTGGCTCAAACATCCATTAGCTTTAGACTCAAACAACATAAGCCAAATACTGCCACCTGGTGGGAATGTTTCTTAAAACACATAATAGCACAGGTGTCAAACTTGATTGTGTCACGTGATGTATCGTGACTTTTTTGTCTTTGCTGAGCCAGAGTGGACATGGTCCGCGGGCCACCAGTTTGACACCCCTGCATAATATTATATAAATAGTGGCAAATACAATCAAAATAATAATTAGTATTAGTTCAGAAAGAATGTTGGTAGGCATTCTTAAGTTGCACATGGGCATACAAAATTCTAATGCTCTTTTCTAGCGTCTAGTGAACAGAGCAGCTAATTCTTTCACTCTTTCCATTTTTTATTTCTTTTTTTTTTTAGCTGATAACTTCAATATTGTTTTATTCAATTGCTTTCAAATACAGAATTATTTGATTTGTAATATGTTATGCATCTTTTTTATTTCTCTTGTCTGGATGTGATCACTGCTTATTAAAAAAAATAGAAAGAGATGCCATTTTAGTTGTAGTTCCCACCCATTAACATGAACCAGTCATTTACTCAAACAATAAGATAAATAATAGTGTTTTCTTTCTATGTCTTTGAAAGTCCTGGAACCATATGGAGCCTATGGAGTATTGAAATTATGTCCAAATATTTCCAAATATACAAAGTGATTAAGACATTACTTTGGAAATTTCAGTTTTGTTTCAGAACATAGAAGTATTTGATTAATATAGTTTCATTAGCTGTTCATCAGAGCTAGCAAATAACCACCAGAGGGCAGCAGATAGATATATAAAAAATAATTCATGGCTGCCATCTGGTGGTCATTTGGATTTTTGTAGCCACAAGCAGGAAGTTTTCACTATTAGTGCTATAACCCATTCTTAATTGAAGAAAAAATTGCTTTTTTCTTAAAACAAATACAAATATTTTCTCAAGATCAGCTATTAATCACAGCAGGAGACATAAAGCATTCAATTTGCTCAGCTTCTCTTTTTATTTGATTGACAAGTACTATAGTCTGATGGAAGCTTATTCCTTTCTTAATGCAACCCTTCAAAATGAATAAGCTGATCAGCATGTGATTAACTACACTTGTTTTCATGTTGAGATTAGTTTAATTACAAGGAATATTTTTACCAATAAAATCTATATTTTCACTTCCCATTATTTTGGGGCGACGATCTTATATTTCACGCTGAACCTCAATTACTGTAATATCTGCCTATTTTATTTAATTGCAAAATATGTTCTTGAAACAATAATAACTTAATGCCATTAGAAAAAAAAATCTAATATGACGTTACTAATTTATCTAATATTTCAATGTTTAGTTGCTGTGACTGTGTAATTGAATAGAAATTTAGCAATAGCAATGACATGAGCTTAAATAGAATGCCATCTGAATCATAAAGGGGATGATAGATGATATGTGGGTGAAGGCAGCTGAACATGCAAGTGATTAATCTTGTGGCCTTTTATCACCCAGTTGCATTTACCTCAGAGGTAGGATGCCCTCTACTTGAAAGAAAAGGCCTTTGGAGATGTCTTCGTTGTTCTTAATGCTTGGATCATTTTTTTAAAAACTTTACCAGACTGCTGTTCCTTGCTGTGATACTGAATGTTTTCACTGTAATCTAATAGTAACTATGAGATATATACCTAAAGATAAACTGAAGGAGTGTGTGCAAATCACCCATCCAATGAAAAAATCACATGGAGCACCAGTTCACATTGGCTCTTCTGGTCAGTATATTTTCTTCTGTGTTTCTATGATCTATAATACAAAGCATGCATGAGAGAGAAAAATAACTGGCCCTAGACTTGTCTGGTTTACTAACGTACAGTCTAGCTTTTTAGTGACTTTATGCACAAGTAAGAGGATTTAAAAGAATTCCATCCTAGATCCTACTACTAATTCCAGGAAGTGCTGGGTAAGAAGCCTCTAGGTAAACTAATGTTTTTTAACAATTGTAAACCACCCAAAGTCATTGGGTCAGGTAGCATATAAAATCAATGAATTATGGTTGTTCACGCAGTCAGCTAGATGTATGTATGTATGTATTCAATATATATATAGCTTAGACTGTATTTACATGTAGCATTTTTCTTCTATTTTTATTTTATTCAAAAAAAGTTAAAATACAGAACACCAAGAAGCCAGATTCCAATTATTGTTGTCGTTGTCATCATCATCATCATTATTAAATATTAAAGTGTCACAGGCTTTTCACTGTCTGCCCTGAGGTTCAGTTTCACATATTTTTTCCAACAAAATAAAAAGTCATGCCAAAAATTTATTGTATGTCACATTTGTTACCTGAACCCAGTAATTCCTTTACACAGGTACAGGAATAAATAAACCATTAACTTTTATTTTATGTTCACCTCGTAATAAAATAAAGAAATGTCAGTATCCCATGCAACAGTATCCCACTAACATCACTTTCCATGCCACATCCCATGCTCTTCTAGGGAGTTGTCAGATGTTTTACAACATTAAGTCCCAGCCAGTGATGGGATTCAGCCGGTTCGCACCACTTGGGAGAACCGGTTGTTAACTTTCTGAGCAGTTTGGCAAACTGATTGTTGGAAGAAATCATTAGGGCAGAGAACCGGTTGTTAAATTACTTGAATCCTACCACTGGTCCCAGCCTAATTGGGTTTTCTACATTTCTGCTTGAGTATTAATAAAATTTCAATTTTAGATTTGTTAGGAATTAAAGATCTCTCCAGTCCAGAATATGGTGATGCAGTACAAGCTCATCCTGGAGATGTACCAGTCTTTTGGGCCTGTGGTGTAACAGGAATAGAAGCTGTCATCAATTGCAGTATGTATTTAGTGGAATTACCAGAACTGCTGCTTTATTATAAAAAACCAGGGATGTTTAAAAGTTGTTGTTCGGTCACTTCTGATTCTTCATGACTCAATGGACATACATACTTGCAGTAATTGCTTCTTTGGATTTGTTCATTTACTCATATTGTCTGTGACAGTATCAGCCACCTTGTCTTCTATTGGCTTCTTTTACAAATGCTTTTGTTTTTTTCCAAGCTCAAGGTCTTCTGCATTGAGTCCTGCTTTCTCATGTGTTTGAATTTTAAAATATAACCTACATAAAAGAACCAACAACGCTCATAATCCATCTTCCAGTGTTGGTTTTTTTTTGCCTTGAACTTAACCAAGCTTTTTTCCACAAAGCTATAATTTTCCCTTAATCATGCACAGAATAGTCCTGTAAAATAATCTTATTACATGCTAATCTTTTAAGAATTACATGTCTTTTTTCTGTGTATCCTGCCTGAGAGTAAGGCAGGTATTTACCCGAGACCCACTTAGTTATGATACATTTTTTAAAAACTATCACCAAACCAGAACAGAGTGCAATGGTTGTTTCCTATTATTTGGAAATTATATTTCTATTGATGCAGTCTAAAATTTCTTAGTAAAAATTATGAACATTTGTTTGAGATTTTGACTAAACACTATTACTGTGTTTCTATCTTTTAGAAATTAAGCTACGTATTCCACCCAGCTGGTCATCATCTGAAAATTTATGAGCATTCCTTATAATTCATCATCCAAATCATTAATGAAATAGTGAAGAGTAGATGAGCCAGGACTTGATATCAAGCCAATGTGATAAGGAACCGTTGATGAACACACTTGGAATAGACTATTCAGCTAGCTGAATGTCCACTTGTCATGTCAGCCAGTCCATACAAAGTTGCTAATCACCATGTAGTGTATTAAATGCTTTGCTGAAGTACATTATGATTTTAACATCTTTACATTATACTGAGAAAGTTACATGATACACATGAATAGTATAGCAAGGTATATTCTTGACAAATTCAAGTTATATCAGGAATTTTGATTGCGTGACCATGGGAATGCTGCAATGGTCGTAAGTGTGAAAAAGTTATAAATCAATTTTTTCAGTGCCATTCTAACTTCGAATAGTCACTAAATGAACTGTTGTAAGTTGAGGACTACCTGTAATTGTTAATTGATAAAGTACTTGTAATTTTTATTCCATGTAATCCGCATCTGCATAACCAACCTATTTTCATCTGCCTTTTCCTCCCATCTTCTCTCCCCACATCATTTTAAAACTGTATCAGCCTAGACACTCTCTGTATCTGATGAAGTAAGTGGCAGCTCATGAAAATTTACACCTTTTAATAAAATGTATTGGCTGGAAAAGGTGCAACCAGACTTTATCAGCTATAGAGTAAGCAATAGTAAGATAACCATGTATTTGTTCTTTTTTTCTGGGTACCCACTTTTATATTCTGTTGATATTCATTTATTATATTTTCATTCATGACCATCTTTTCTTGCACACCATTTTTTCCATATCCTTTCCTCCAAAGAAAGAGGTTGATTACTAGACAAAGGTTGTCCAGTATTTGGGGGGCCAGTTATAATTTCTTAAGAAGACAGTGCATCACTGTATTTTCAGAGTAAAAGGGATCACCATTCACTCAAGGATAAATTCACCACCATTTTATCCCAGGCAGAAGGAACATGGAGCTAACCTATAGGTGATTGCACTAACAGCTCTCAGAACTCTGCCCATTTCTTCAAAATTCATGTGCTCAAACTCCTCCCAGATAGAAAGGCCTTGATTCCTCCTGTACACTGCTTATTGGGCTTCTCTTTATTTTCCAGAAGCTCCACTGGCTTTTACCCATTCACCTGGTTGCATGTTTATCACTGATTTGGAAGTTGAAGATGATGCATCTGGTAATGATAAAGATCTCCCTGAAGTCTACTGTATTTCTCAGGATCCTTTGCATTATAGCATTGCTTCAACAGCAGCTGTAAAGAAAATTAGAGGCTTAGAAAACATAATAGCGATAGATCCAGGTAAGAGAAAAAACACAATCATGTTAGGAGTCTAAAAGGTTTACTACGATAGAAAAAGCGATATCTGTATAATTTTCCGCAGCAATCCTGTCAAAAGGAAAATTTGAATTAAAAAATCCTACCTCTAATGCTTGCATTTATTTCCAAACTACCATTTTATGGTTAAATTAGCCATAGGCCATCATTTAAATTAATACTTAACTTGTAGATCAACTTTGCAGAGACTTCCTATAGAATATGAATGAATGATGTATCAAATGTTGTTCTGAAGAGGTAAAAAAATCAGAGGGAAGCCAAAACAAATAACTTTTCTGAGAATAATAGTTACCAAGCTATTTGCGTGTTCAGGCAAGAAGAAAAATCTGGTTTAGCAGCTCTGAGATCTCTTCTATCTCATTTCCTAATACTATGAGCCATTGCATCTGTCAGCTTTAAGATTTTTTTATCTATCACAATCAAAACAAACTAGTTTTATTTTTAAATAAATGCCTGTGACAAACCACTATCTTCAGGATGTTCTTAGTTTAAAATATTTGTATTTTCCATGCTTAGGGAACAGAGGTGTGAAACATCTGTTTTCTCAGGATGAACTTCTGAAGGCATGCCTGTCGCTTTCCCATGCAAAATCGGTGTTGATTACTACAGGATTTCCCACCCATTTCAATTATGAACCACCTGAAGAAAACGATGGGCCGCCTGGAGCCATTGCAATGGCAGCAATCTTGAAAGCCATGGAAAAAAATGTAGTTATAGTAACTGATCAAAGAGCTCTCGATTTAAACAGAAAGATTATCAAGGAATCTGTTGAGCAAGGTATGGCATGGCTCATTATAACCTGATTATGTTAAAGTGTGTTTCAGTTTCTTAAAAATTGAAACTGTCCACATTGTGCATTTTCATTTATTACTGTTGGTTATTTTTTATGTTACTTATGTTAAAATCTAGAATCTAAAATCTAGAATAGTTATAGAATATTTACTAGGTTTGCTTCACTTATCACTCTAAACTATAACGTGATTTATTTTCTTCATTTATTAAATTTGTATGTCTCCTCTTACCATCAAATGACTCTGAGTGGCTTAGAGTAGCACAAAAGCAAACTAAACAATTAAAATCAAAACCTTAAAATATCAAATCTTAAAATTGAAATGGTTAACATTATCAATAAATTAAATGAAGGATCAGTGTGTAAGTGGGGTACAGGTGGGATATTAGAATAGAATAGAATAACACAGTTATTGGGGATGGATTTAGGATACATAATTAAGCTTTCTTATAAGAGTATTCCGTTTACCTGAAAGAAAGACAACATTTTTTTCCACCAAAATATTTCACTTTAAAATGGGAGGAGGTCTTGTATTGCAGCTAAACATTTCACCCAGTATCTTGTGGGATTTAATTATTCTGTGCAACTGAATTGGGAATAATCTAATCAAGGTATAAAGACAGAAATAATTTGGTTTTAAGAAAATTTGTTAAACAATATTTTAATACTCTTCTATTGAAATCAGTAGAGTTTCCACATGTTTAGGTCTGACTCAGTCATATCTTCCTTTACATTCATCCTATTTTACAAAAGAGGAGAATGTCCTGAAAATTTCAGCCACAGAACTGATCCTATTTAACATTGAGAAGACAAAACAAATAATTGTGAAACAGTGATCAGGCATGTGCAGATTATTTGGTGAGGCACTTTGCTCTTTAGCAACATCTCTCTCTGAATCTGCAGACTGTAGGAAGTAAGTAAGTGCAGGTGTTTGAAGGCACAGCAGCTCCTGCATGCCTGGAAGAATCCTATGCACAGGCCTAACAATGGCATGATTAATATCATGATCCAAGTTACCTTTGTCTTTCTCTATATTCTAGAAATACTTCAAACACCTGTTCCTGTAATCAGCTACCAAAGCAATTCTCCAGATTCAGCTCTGCAGTTCTTATGTGAAGATGGGAATCCAGAAAAACCGAGGTATATGTCCCCAAAAGCAAAGCAATGCCAAACTCTAGCTAGCATATCTCAGAAGGGTCTAGGACAATTTGCCGCAGCCAACTCACCGCAGCCAATTCATTGTGGGCCATCTTGCTGTAGGACAATTTAATGCTGTATTAAATTGTTTCATTCAATTACTTTTATTATTGGTGACCACGTTTTCTCAAAATTATTGTAACTTGTATTTCTGGACTGGCTTTATTTTATTATTATTGTCCACAGTTCTGTCAAAATTTAACTTTTGTATTTGTTGAATTGTTCCTTGGTGCATTGTCCCACAGTGAGTTGGCCACCGTGAGTTGTCTGTGGCGAGTTGGCCGCCGAGAGTTGTCCCATTCCAATTTCAGAGAGTCTTTAGTGTAGGATACGGGAACAAGGCTTAGCTCCTGAAGTCCATATAGTATCACAGATGCTAGCTAAATATCATCTGGTTGACTTCAAATACCAGAATGGCTTTAAAGCAGTTTTCTCTAGGAGTCTGTCTAACCTGCAGCTTTCTTTGGGAAAGATAAGAGACTAGTATATTTCCTCCAGGTACTCTCTTGAAACAGAAAGAAATAAACAGAGTGTAAAAGACAATGCTAGAGGGGAGAGCATAAAGGACATGTAAGCAGGGCAAAGAGAAAGATAAGAAAAATTTTAACTATTTGCAGGGAAGAATTTTACTCAGGTTATAAACTAGATTTCCTCAACCTGCTTAACTCCCAGCTATAGCTGTAATCCATGTCAGCTGCGGAGCACCATACTGTGAAAATTTTGGAGTTAGCCAAAGTATATTATTATGAAGACTAAAGTGATAGATTGGGGAACTGGAGCAACATTGAATGGAGCAGAAACTCAAGGACACAGAGTTGAGGAAATTGAATAACAAAGAAGTTTCCTCATGTTCTCTGATAGTAAATGGAGTATATGGGGTTTTGAATTGAGAAACCTTAAGAAGTAATGCTGAGTACAGCAAGCTATCATTAGCATTAGAACTGAATTTTAATTCTTTTTTAATTCTTTTTCTTTAGATTTAATCATTTGATAGCAATAGAACGTGCTGGGATGGCTGCTGATGGTAATTACTATAATGCAAGGAAAGTTAATATTAAACATTTAGTAGATCCCATTGATGAACTCTTTATAGCTGCACAAACTCTGCCAGGAATTACTACTACAGGTACAGTATGTGTATTTTCCTTCAATGATCTGATAAAAATACTAATGTTGCTATCTGGAGACATTAAAAACAGGGTCTATCATGCAACTGGAATAACTGTGGTGAGGCAAAAGAATTGCTGCTCAAATTGGTAAGTAATATTTAGCTCTCTTAAGATTTCAAATGTTCACAGTCATGGAGATAGGAATTTCAATGAGGCAATTTCCAATTAATCATTATTTACTGATGCTCTTTGAAATTTTCTAAATATGAGATGCTTTTTAAATATATTAATGTGGCATTTATTCTAACCCTGCTCTTTGCTTGTATGAAGACAAACCCAAGGCAAAGAGAGATCAGAAAAATGTACACAGAAGCAACACATACAGATGTGTTCCTGAAATAAACTGTAATTGAGCCTGCCCATTACGGTTGCATGTCAAGATGGCCGTTAAGTGAAATGGCCTTGCTTAATGATCTCCAGTCCTGCTGTCCCTGATGTGGCCATTAAACAAACATGAGGGTTCTTAAATGGAGCATGGGATGCTTCAGGGTGGGAGAGACCCTTGGAGGCCTAGCGCAGGCCTAGGCCTTCCTGTCCCAGACCTTCCATGGGCTCCTACACACACACACACACCCTGAAACACCCTATGCTCTTCTTTCCATCTCTCGGGTCCCCACAGGCCTTTACCTAATCCTACCAGGTGGCCTCAATTCATACACCACCAGGCCAAGCACTTTTCCCCTCAGTTAACTTTTAAAGAACCCCAAGGCTTCTTGGGGTTCCAGAGCACTGGAGCACTGGAACAGATCACTTCCAGAGCACTGGAACAGATCACTGGAATAGATCACATCATCACACAGACATGTGATGCAATTGTGGAAGCTGCAATGATATATATAGCTAATTTTTGGTCAGTCATAAGGGTGAATGACTGCAGGGGTATTGCAGGAGCCATAACTTTCAAAACAAGATGGTATGGAGCTTTTGGGAGGTTTGCTGTAACTTCAAGTGGCTGTTAAGTGATCAGTCATATCTTGAAGACTACCTGTATGTGTTAGATTCTTAGATTCTGGGAAGAAAGTGGACACATATAAATTAAACATGTCAGTGGTACTCCTCAAAATAAGGGGAGACCAGGAACACACACCCAGTTTGGGCTTTGAGGAGAAAATCACATACAAATATACAGCAAGTATGACATTTCAGTATATTGATGCACTAGAAGGCAAATAAAGAAAGGATAAGTGAAAAAGTATGGCAGTGTCATGCCCCCATCGGAGTCTGAACCCAAGGGGGAAGACGAGCAGCTGACAGAGAGCGAGAGAGTGGCTCTGTTGGCTGTGGAGGAAACTGGAGAAGGGCAAAGTCAAGCTGGGCAGAGCAGGGGAGAGGTTGAACAAGGGAGAGGGGGTTCAGATGAAGACCAAGGCCCACTCCCTCCTCATCCTAGGGCATGCAGGGAAGAACGGAGAAGAGAACAATGTGGGTTGCGTGGCTTACAAGGGAGGAAAGGGCCCTGATTCTCTTCACAAGGCACACCTGGGGATGGAGTTTAAAGGAGAGGCAAATGGGAGGGGCGGTTGTCAGGAACAAATGCTGAGTTCATCTTGTGTTAACTGCTTTATCTGAGTTCCTGGTATCCTCCCAACTGGTTTGATTTACTGCCGTGCTACTTCACTTCTGGAACTCCTTATCTTGCTTGCCCTGCCAGATTAATTACCTTATTTTGCCTTGTTGGATTTATAGTTGAAAGTTTTCGGTTTATAACGCCTGGACTGGAGTATTTTCAGCCAATGGCTGTTCCAGTTTTGTGGGAGAGCTTTTCTGCAAACGGAAGAGTAAACAGGACATTGGGGGCAAAGTTGGAGCTAATAAAGCAGTGATTCTCAACCTTCCTAATGCCGCAACCCTTTAATACAGTTCCTCATGTTGTGGTGACCCCCAACCATAAAATTATTTTCGTTGCTATGTGTGTATATGTCAGCGATGGTGAACCTTTTTTGGCATTGCGTGCTAAAAGTCCAAGCGTGCGGGCGCTCACGTGCTCTCACGTACCAGCACCCATAATGCAATGCAAGGTCTCAGCCTGGCTGGCATTCAGAGTTCATTCTGAAACACAAAACTTTTGAAAGGAAGAAAAACGGAAGTGTCCAAAAAGAGATGTTTATGCCAATATTATGGATAAAAGACATTGATTTCATTTTCTTTTCTTTTTAAAAAACCTATCATGCCAAGGAACTAGCATGGACCCCATCCACTCCTTCCCAATGAAACAGGATGCCCTGATTTTATACACCCCTAACATCTTTTCTTTAAAATTCTACAATTTTATTTTATTTTTTTAACTTTTTAAATAATCCATCCAAAGCTGACAAGCGATCGCCTGGCTGAAAGGCAGGAACTGAACCTTTTTCAGTTTTTTTTTAGGAAAAACTTTTTAGGAAACCTCAGTATTTTCTAGGCCTAGAACCTGGGATGCCAAACAATGCCATTTTGCCTTTTTTTTTTTCTTTTTTTGCAATCTCTCGTTATCGTAGGATCTAAAACTCTCAACTTTTCCCTACTTCCTACTCCTAACCGGTCCCTTCCTCTTCTAAAGCAAGCAAGAACCCAGAAATTTGGCCTCTACGTTGCCCTCCGTTTCAAGCAAACCAGAGGAACCCAAGAGAGGAGCCCAGCCCCAGTTCTTCCCTTCGACATTTGGGGATCCTCAGCCTGCGCTCTATCGCCCCCAAACTCACTCTCCCACCAAGGGTCCCAAGTGGAAGAGAAACGATGGCCAATTGCAGCGGTGACAGCAGGAGCAGCAGCTCTCCTCCTGAAAGCCCAGACAGAAAGGGGTGGAGAATGGACTTCACCACTCAGCGACATGGGGGGGAGGGCTAAAAACATATCCCAGGAAAACTGCCTCTCCCGAAGGGTGACTTTTTAAATATATCCTGCGCCCAGATCCAACCCAGCGGTTCCATCTGCATCCGTTCCTAGAAGACGAATCTTCCCACTGCCTTTTAGCAGCCTTCCCACGCCTGCGAAGAATGGTATGGCCTTCCCGGCTTCAAGCTGAATGGAAGACGCGTATATTAAAGGTCCAAGGCAGGACTGGGTTACATCAGCGTTGCTCAACCTTTAGACTCTATCAGTGTTTTCTGATGATCTTAGGCGACCCCTGTGAAAGGGTCGTTCGACCCCCAAAGGGGTCGCGACCCACAGGTTGAGAACCGCTGTAATAAAGGGACTCATACTTATTCTTTGGCTGTGTTGCCTTTGTGCCACACCTCGGGTCATCACAGGGTGCTTTGTGGTCAGCTTGGTTTGTACATGTACAAAAATTATAAATACATAAAATTACTTGTCTATTGGAACTATTCAGCAGAAACAATGCATGCAAAAACTTTGAATTATATTTTAATTGAAAATTCAATAAAGCTAATTGGACAGTAATGAAATAAAATGCATTGCTCCATGCGTATCGTGATTGACCAAACTAGGTAATAAAGTTTAATGGCATCAGTAGCATATTTTAGAATGTGCTGGGAGGGAGTATATCCTTAATAATAACTTTATAGGATTTTAAATAGAATATCTCTCATACATTAACATTTAGTTCTGTTCAAGTTTGAAAACATGTATTTTGGCAAGGCATAGTCCAAATCAACTGCTGTCTGCCCCAACTATACTGATATTGGAGAGTTATTTACCTAACCTTGCAGATAGATAAACATGCACAAATCCTGATATTAATAAGTCAGCAGTTTAGACAACAGTACAAGTTTCCAATCACACTTATGATTTTAATTATTTTGTCATTATTTGGCAAAATTCTTTGTACCTGTGAAAGCAGATACAAGTGTTAATATGCACGATAAATAAAGCTGGGGTATTTCATTGGTTACCCAGAGTGTAGTTTTCATGGGAAGTATTCACAGTAGAACTATTATTAACAGTTCCACTAATTTTTAATTTTTCATCAGATTTTCTATAAGGATCATTGGTATCAAAATCTATGACTAGTATGGTAATATTCCAATGTAAATTTTTCCATTTTAATTTAGGTATTGGAGATGGAGGAAATGAATTAGGAATGGGAAAAGTAAAAGAAGCCACAAAGAAGCACATTAAAAATGGAGATGTCATAGCTTGTGATGTGGAAGCTGATTTTGCAGTTGTTGCAGGTAAGATTTGAACAAGCCAAAATATGTACATGTGCAAAATCATAAGAAGAAACTAAAACAAAAGCTGCATTACTTTTTTCTGATTATTGTATTCAGTCATCACTTAGATAACTAAATCACTAAATAAGCTGTTTGTCATCTTTGATACCTAATGTGCTATCAGGGTGGCTCTGGGTAGCTAATAGTTAAAAACAGAATATATAACTGGCAGCCAAGGTAAGAAAAAAAAAATCAAACTAGAATTATCCCAAAGGTGCTTTTTCAAGAGGCAACTGGACTTTCTTGTTTTTCTTTGAAGGCGTTTCACTTCAAAACTGAAGAAGCTTCTTGAAGAGTGAGACGTCTTGAAGAGTGAGACGTCTTCAAAGAAAAACAAGAAAGTCCAGTTGACTTTTGAAAAAGCAACTTTGGGACAACCATGGCCTGGATGATAGAGAATCTCCATAGACATCAAACTAGAATTAAAGTAGTATCTCATGGGCTCCAACTAACAATCTTACCTCCATGCCCAGGCACAGAACAACATTTTCAATCTTCCTTGCAAAAGATTGGCAGGGTTGAGGCTGGTCTGTTTCCCCCAATTCTCTGCGAAATATTTCAAACCACAAGGGCTACAACATAAAAGTGTCTTTTCCGCATAACTTCTGTGCCACTATTTTATTCATTTATTAATTTGTGTAGCTGCCTATCTCAAACCAGTGACTCAGAGCAGTGAGTATTCATAAAAACAAAACAGTTAAAACATAGTACAAAAGAGAATTAAATACAAATGGCAGCCAAGAGATATTACAAGCCATTGTTGTCAACATAACCAGGAAACACTTGGGACCCCAGGCCCTGGCACATGGCCAGGTCTTCAAGATCATCTGAAAGGCTAGCAGGGTCTGTTATATAAGTATATAAGCAGGAAAAAATGGCCTGCACTGCTTTCTTATCTAAATTAAATCAAACCTCTTGGAGGTTAACCTGAATGCTTTTTTGAAGGAGGAGATGGTTCCGCTTCTTTTGAACGAAGCCGTGGTTTGCTCTTTTCTCAAGAAGCCATTTTTGGATCCAATGAACCTGCACAATTTTCATCTGGTTTCTAACCTACTTTAGAGAAGGTGATTGAGAAAGTGGAAGGTTTCCTATGCCAGAGAAAGCAGATTGTACAGAGAGGCAGGTTTTCAGGCAGGTTTCAGATCAGTTCTGCAGTGGCACTGATCATACTTGCCGATGATCTCTGAGGGGCTTAAAATGCGGGGGGGAGGTACACCTATACTGGCCTTCCATAATCTTCCAGCAGCCTTTAATACCAGCCTTTGATCATGGTATTGTTCTGGATCAATTTAAGAGCTTGGAAGTAGGGAGACAGTCTTGCGGAGTTAATTATCATAAGTATGCTGAGGCTATTCAGCGCCCTGGTCTAATCAGGTGATGCCATTAAAGTTCTTTCCCAGTGCCTGGTGGCTATGGAGGTCTGGATGGTAAGGCATAGGCTTTAATTTATCTGTAACAAGATTAAGTGATTGTTGGTTTTAGGGACCCTAGAACCTGGAGATTATCCATCTGTGACTAAGGTAGCACAAATTAATTTATTTAAATAAATTAAGTAATAAAATTCTATGCCCTGACTGTTGTTCATGCTGAATAGAACTAGTACTAAGTGGAGCTCAAAATATCTTCTAGGCCGTCTCTAATAGGTGCTAAATGATGTTCTGAAAATAATCTAAACCAGGTTTTAGAGAGTCAGGAACAAATTTCACTATTGCTTTAAAAGGCATAGATCAACATATTACTCTCTGAACAAATAAGCCAAAGCACAACAAGATTCTGTTGATCCTAGAAATGATGGGAAAAACTGCATTTCCTCCTGTTGTCCAAATATTATGGTGCTAAGTTTCAACTATAGGCCTGTGTTTCGTATTATTAAGTACCGTTCAATTGTTTTAGCTAAAACATTTTATTTTAATGGCACTTTTCTTTGGCAGGTGTTGCCAATTGGGGAGGCTATGCAGTTGCTTGTGGACTATATATCCTCAAAACATGTGAAATACATGGCCGCTATCTGAGGAAAGCTGTTGGATATCCCAGGTTTTCCAAGTATAAGAACTGGGCATCAGCATTACCTTCTGTGGCTAAGGTAACTTTTTGGAAGAAGTTTTTCATGGAATAACTTTTTTCTATATAGGGCAATTGGAAGCAATATGCAGAGCTTGCTAACACTGGGTGATGCTTGGATAGCTATTGAAATTGAGTTGCCTTTGTTAAATACCATATGCTGATTATGAGTCCTGATTTCACCTATTAGTTTTCTAGAGCAAAGAAAGTTTGATTTAAATAAATGTGTGTAACTGAAATCTTCATAGCTTAATTATCTAGCTTTCACGATGATTCCTTTTTAAAACTTTCCTAAACTAACATGTGCTTGTTCATATCTAGCCATAATCTAGCTATTAGCCATTTCTTTTATAATCCCTCAAATTTATAATTGTAAAATAAATGTAAGTGAAAGTGTTCACCCTCATCAAGGCCATTAACAATTGTATGCCATTATTTATGCAGAACTAGAACTACTAGATTGGGGCAATGCAATGCAATTCTGAATTCATGCAACTTTTTCAGAGTCTTTCATATTGTAAAATACAATAAGGTTAACAATTGGGGCCTGAATTTCCATTGCTAAGCAATATGCAATATCAAGTGATAACATCACTTAGTGATGGCAAGCCTGACATGCCACATTGCTGTCATTAAGCAAGGACCGTGGATTGTTAAGCAAATCTTAGGTGCCTCGCAGATAGGTAAGCACAGGGTGGCTTCTGTTGGGCTTCTACAAAATGAGAGCAACTTACTGAAGCAACTTGCAACTTTCCCTGCCAGCTTCCCCATTGAAACCAGCAACAAATGGTGATCATGTGATCGCAGGACACATTGTAAGTGCAAGCCAGTTACCAAATGTCCGGATCGTAATCACATGCTGTGACGGCCAGAACTTTAATGATTGGTTATAAGTCTCCTTTTTCAGCAGTATCATAATTTTATAATTTTGATTATTTTTTCAAAAATATTTACAAATTTTATTTGTTCATAATGTTCTCTGAACAAACAGTCAGTAAGCAACAACTATCTCTAGTCTGTTGGCACAGATTCATTTATTCATCAAAACAAATGTGTGGGAAGCTGCTGAAATGTAATGTATTAAGATTAATATATGTTACAGAATACAGATCTGGAACTTAGAGTCTCAGTCACCAAGATGACTGTGAATCATAATATTAATGATGTTGCATTTCCAGATGGTACTTCTCCTTCATTTGTTTTCTTTCTCTTTATTTTTCAATGCAACATCATTGATCTGTCTTTTTGACCCTGTTGGACTTACCTTCGTTGCTTCATCCTTTTTATCCTCCTTCTGCCATACCTTGGCTTCAGACAGATTTTACAACTTATTCCTGAACTCATTACTTTTTTTTACCATTTTACTATGAAAGCAGGGCATTGGTAATTATAGATTATTTTATAAACTGAAATTATGATGCCAAACATCAACAGTATAAACCAGGGGTCTCCAACCTTGGCAACCAGCAGAAAAGCTGACTGGGGAATTCTGGGAGTTGAAGTCCGCCAGACTTAAAGTTGCCAAGGTTGTAGATGGAGACCCCTGGTATAAACAGTAGCTTGGAAGTTCTTCTAGTATAATATTATTCTAATAAAGATGCTAGAAACAATATAATACAAATGGATTCCATTCCTACATTTCCAGATTATTGTAATTAGATAGCGAAGAATGCATTTTAACATTTGAGTGACAAGAGTGCTGTAAAGCACTATGGGGCAATATATAAGCCTAAATCCTATTGCTATTGCTATTTTATAGTTAATGTGGACATGTCTAGAAAGAAACTGGGAATAAAATCTTCCCCAACAAGATACTCTTATTGTGAACTTAAGCAGTAAATATTAAACTAAATTCCTGACTTTGAGCACTTTCAACTATTAAAGTTAAAAACCTAAATTTTAAAGAGAATAAAAATTGTACTTTGTATTTTACTATTTAGGAAGAAAACATGCTGAAGATATTACAGCGGCATCACGTTCGCAGTGGAATAACTGCAAGTTTGGCAATGGAAGTGGATGCTCTGCCGTTCTTTGACATTCATTCAAATTTAATAGAAAGACTGCGGGAGGAAACTTTCAAATAATACTCCATCTCTAACAATATGGTATATTAAACACATTTAATCCAGAATATATATTACCACTACATTCCCTGATCAGATATCCTGCCACAATTTATTATTCCAAATAGTATGAGGTTGAAGAATGTGTAATTATACAGTAAATTTCTGGAATAATGTGAAGGCAGAATTAATAGATTTTTCAGAATGATATCTTTTTTTAATTATCTGAGTAAAATATATCAACAATAAATTAATTGAGAATGTATTTTCTTAGATTTAAACAAGATTCATCCCTGCCTCATTTACCAGATGCCCTGTTAAAACTGTAATTCAGGCAGTAGCCATTTAATTTGATTGCAAGTGAGCCGACTCTATTTTTCTCTGAATTTCACCTCAGAGAATCCTAGGAAGCCTCCAAAGGAAAGTTGTAGACACTGAGTTCTGAAATACTTTCTTCTCTCCCATTAAATAATAGGAATAGAAGGGGCACTTAGGCTACTGAGTTCAACTCTTTGTTCAGGGCAAGCATCCAAATTAAAATCCACAAAAGTCTGTCTAGCTTTTCTTGAATACTTTAGTAGGCAATTGGTTGCGCTGTCAAGCTGCTCTTCTTAGGAGGAGATTCTCAACTTTGAACCAGAATGTCAGCATTCCAGAAAAAACCTCAACTCTAAGTAAAAACTCTGAAGCAAGCGTTTTTCAAAGTTCTATTTACTAGAATAGGTAAACTGGCACATCTGGGAAAACCCGAATCTGAGAGGTCCGGGTTTTCCCTTAGTAAATAAAAACCCCCCAAACCATCCCCTCAGTCCTCAGTCGATCACATGCTCCAATCAACCGCTGTCCTATCTCGAGACAGCATTCCGACCACTCCTTCTCCAGATGCTGGATCGGCCTGACCTTGACCAATAGGAAGAATGCTATTATGTCTAAAGTCAACCCCTCTACTAAATCCCCCCTCCTACTCCCACATGAGAAGGTGGCAGCATGGAAGCTTCTGGACTAATATGGCTTCCAAAGCTGACAGGCATCCCCCCCTGCAGAAAAAAACACACCCTGAAAAATAAAACATACAAAACAAAAAATGGGGTTAACGCCTTGTACATAACCTCTTAACCCTCTCTCCCCCCTCCAGGAGAACCCTCTGGTTTCTCAGGGAATTTATCATGAAATTGCTTTACTAGAGTATCGGCATTCACATCCCAACTTTTCACCCAAGTAGCTTCAGACAACAGGTACCCTTTCCAGTGTACCAAATACTGTAACCAACCCCTGTATAGTCTAGAGTCTAGAGTCAAGGATCTTCTTAACTTCATAGCTCTGGACACAGAGTCTGTCTTCCACTAACTTGAGTTATTACATGCCTTGTCCTCTAGAATAATAAATAATGAGTTGTGGCCTTCTCTATGATATTACTCTGTGATTCTCTTCCAGTATGAAGAGAGTGGTAGCATATTCCCACTCAATTGCCTTTTCTTTCTAAATAAATGTATTCAGTTCTTTCTATCACTACTCATAGAATATAATTTCTAGTTCCACAGTCAAACTTTGCTGTCCTTTTCTTGAATCCTCCTTAAAGGCCATGCCCATGATAGAAATATAAAACACTATACAGCAAGAATCTGCCAGCAAAAAATACTGCCACCATTAAATGTGATTGCTTAATCTTTTCTGCCCTTATACAGGTAGTCCTTAACTTAGAATTTCCATAGCTAAGCATAGTTGTTAAGTGAGTTGTGCCCAATTTTATGACTTTTTGCCACAGTTAAGCCAATCACTGCAGTTGTTAAGTGAATCACATGGTTATTAAGGGAATCCAGCTTCCCCTTTTATTTTACTTGTCACAAGCCAGTTGGGTAGCTCGAAAATGGCGGTCACATGACCAGAGGATGCTACCTGTGGTCATGTGACCACCAATACATGCTGGTTGCCAACCATTGGAATTTCGATCACATGACTGTGGGGATGCTGCAGTGATTGTAAATGCAAGGCCTGATCAGAAGTCACCTTTTTCAGTGCTCTTGTATCTTTGAACAATTGCTAAACAAATGGGTGTAAGTTGAGGACCACCTGGGCTTGCTTGTTACTAAATTGTGTTGTCCTCCTTGGTGTGTGTGCTTTTCTCTCCTTTGTAACGTAACCTTCTCGTTGTGAATACCACCTTACCATGGCAAACATACCCAACTCAATATGTTTTAACAAAGAAAAACAGGTCTACTGTATTTATTGTGGCATTTCTAATTTCATATTTGTATCCATTCAACTTAGTTCCTATCTGCCCTTTTCTACCCCCAAATAAATCAGAACATGTGAATTCTTGTTATTTTTTTAGTCGCTTGTGGTACTTTGCAAAAACTGGAAGGTAAAATTGACTTAAGATTTTAAAAAAACCTGTGAAATAGTTGAATACTTGGGCATTTAGAATACTTTTCTCTCTCATGCAGTAGCTCTCTTTCTTCATCTCACACCTCCTGATTTCCCTTTCTAAAAGTATCCCTTTTTATGCCAAGGTGGGATATTGTGTTTGTGAGGTGTCTGATGTAGAACAACAGAAAGAGAAGTAGCTCAAGAGAAGTAACAGAACTGTATACAGTTAAATATCCTAATTGTAGAACCAGGGTTTCTTATCTCAGAAATGCAGCATTAAACAAGAGATTATAAATTGGACAGACACTAACACTATACTCAAGCTTGATCTTAGAAATTAGCAGAGTGTTGTGGTCAGATCAGTCAGAGCAGATGGAGGGGGTGCCTGGGTTACCATCGGAGCCTGCGGAAGCAGGAGGTCTTGGAGCCAGATGCAGAGCAGGGCCCATCTACTCATGCTCAGGCGGAGAGACAGCGGTTTTTGAGGCCTGAGCTGAGTGAGGGGGAGGAACAGCTGGGACCTGTCCCAGATGCACATATGCGCAGATAAATGTGGAGAGGAGGGCAACACAGGACTGAGGGCCAGCTATCCAGGAAAAGGAGATATTAACAAGCCCCTCCCTGACTGGGATATAAGGAGGAGGGATGTGGGAGGTGTGGTTGTCGGAGACAACCGTTCATATTCCAGAAGAGTTCCCTCTGGCAGATTCCTTGCCAGGATTTCCTTACCACTGTCCAGGTTGGGCAGGACTCTTTGTGTTGGAATTGAAATACTAATTGACTTTTGGGGAACTCAGAGACAGCTTGTGAATCACCTAAGAATGTGTGACCTGGAGCTTTGTCAGTGAATGCAGTGTATTCCTGCCTTAAAAGGGGTTTCTCCTCATGAGTAGGCTGTTGAGTGAGGCTCGTGAAGGCTGGGTCAGAACACAGAACAAAAAACTATCTTGGGATTTGGAAGGTCAAATGCTGGAAGAGAAATAGTAACGATGCTGGCAGTGACCAGAAGGAAGGAAATATATTAACAGCTCACCTCATTACCTCCAAAACACTCTATAAAAATTTATTTTATATACATTTTTATTATGTGATGACAGAAGTCCACTTAAATTCTGGGCTGGGAATTGGACATTTTTGTTACAGCTCTTGAAGTTATTTTGATTTGTGAATGCAAATTTAGTAATAGAAAATTAGTTGTGATTCTGTAAACTTATAACTGAGCATATTCCAATGAAGTCAATTAGATCAGGGAGATTAAATTAAATTACAAACGGATGCAATTTCTAACTACTTAAAATCAATGTTCTCTGTAAGAATGCTTAGAATGGACCTCCCACAACTATATGACATATAGGTTAAGTTGTGACTTCTTGCTTTAATCATTGTTATACTGCAGTCAGATTAAAGTTTTAATCATCTTCAGCTATGTCTGTTTTAGAGTACCATGACCATTTCTGTTGCAATAACAAACACCAAACATTTGGGTATTCATCCTGACTCAATACAATTGCATTCAGAGAATTTTGCCCCCAGCTTAAGAAGCACATTAGGGGCAGAATAAATTGGAGAAAGAACTACTGTAAGCAAAATATAATCAACAGATAAATGCAGGTTTAGCTGTTCAGCTTAGTATAGAATTTTGTTGCATAAAACTACTAATAAACTGTTGATCTAAACAAACTCAGTCTTTTTTTGGTGCAGAATATATTTTAGCAATGTATGTAATTCATTTCAGGTTCAGTTTTTATTCTGTGAACTATTTGCTTTTATATTGGACCACATGATTTAACAAGTTTGACTTAACATAAATTAATATAGAAGCATTAATACCTCCCATTTTTTTTACTATTCTAAAATTCCTAATTTTCATTGCTTTTGTTTGAGAAATCCACAATAATTCTTATCTAAACATGACTGAAGTCTTTGAATTAACAACTGTTAACATTTTAGTTCAAACATTTACAAACATAAGATTACTGCTAAAGCTTGTTTGGCAGTTCTCAAATTAATTCCTTACACATAATCCAAAGAATATGTACAAATGTTACAAAACTAACTTTTGCTGTTTATTCTGCATTAATAGTATAATGAAGAAATAGCACTAATTGTAAATAAATACTATTTTTTCTTAAATGCCCCTAAAGACGGGCATTTATTTTTTTCTCCACATATCTTGCAATGGCATTGTTTGTTTAAGGTAGTTTTTAAATAAGCTTCAGTTGACTGAGTTCCAGTATTGGCCAGGATAAATCTATGTTCATACAATAGGCTGAGCTGAAACCAAATAAACTGTATTATGTTTACATTAGTCTACTGCTAATAATTGATCTAGTTGTGGATTATTAAAAATTAACCTAGTTTTGTGGGTTTGCATGACACTCCTAACTATAAACTAACCACATAAGCTGGGTTTTCACAAGATACTGGGATAAAATTCAGTATGGCTATTTTTTGAAAACACTACCAGTTGCTTAGCACAATATGTGAACCATGTAACTATTTACCTCATATAGCAGAAGGGATCTGAAAAATTTCAGACACTGTGACATACACACTAATTGCTAGACTTAACACATGATTATAAAAATATATTTTGACATCTATTTTCCAAGAATACACTATTAAAATCTAGAATATTATTTTTATCCAAAGAGTATGTGTCTGAATAGCTTATAAACTTCAAAGTTAATATAGTTTGCATAACTAACACATTGGGATGATGTTCTGAATTGAATGAAGTTGATTCTTTTAAAGGAAGAAAGGAATTCCTCACATGGAAAGAATGCCAGTATAGCAGATTTTATTGTATTTTTAAATTATGAATCATTTTACAGGCTATAATGATTCTCATATCTATATTTAGATGTAAAAAAGTGAGGTGAGCAAATCTTTGCATGGAGAGTTTACATCACTATTTGGGTGAGAAAGAGTTCGTACTTCTATTTTATGAATAACAGAGTTCATTTAACCAATCCTGTGTTCAAATCAGCTTGTTCACTGTCTTTTTTCCTGGTTTCTGGAGTATTTAATGTATAGGATTCCTTGTTTTCTATTGGAATACATTTTAGGCATTTTAAACAAGATCCTCCTGTTTTGGCAAAATCCTGGTAGGTATTTTCACTTGAAAAGCAATATAGTATGGGATCTGCAACACAATTAAAAGTGGTCAACAAAAGAGAAATATGATAGATGTTAAAGATTTTGACAGCAAATTCACAGCTCTTCTCAAATAGGCTGCGTATTAACAAAAGAACATGATACGGTCCAAAGCAAATTAAGAAAATTAAGATTGTGCTTGAAACTAGGCGTTTAATTTGAATTTTCCTTTTTTTCTGAGTGCCATGACTCTTCCGGACAACACGTAGAATTCCATAGTAGGAAAAAATAAGGAGGCAAAATGGAAATAGGAAACCAGCTGTGAAACGGTAAAAGTTTATGTTATGTTCCCAGATTTTTATGGGATAATGCTCAAAGCACACTACGTGGCTCTCCGAGTCTTTACTCACTTCTCCATGTTTAAAAACCAGCAAACAAGTCACAATTTCTTTAGTCCAGATGACAGTGCTCACCACCACAGCAGCCTTCATTGTACGACACTGTTGGAAACGAAAAGGATGCACCAGTGCAAGATAACGGTCAATGGAGATACAGCAGAGAAAACCCACGCTGATGTAAATGTTTTCATAAAGGAGGATGCCACAAATTTTGCATAAGAGTTCATTGTAAGTCCAGTTGTCATGCTGCAAAACATACTGGAGCCAAAAAGGTAGAGAGAAAATGTAAAGCAGATCGGCTATGGTTAGATTGCAAAGGTATATTCCTAGTTCATTCTTGACCTTAACTTGCAAGTAAGCGTAGTACAATGAGAGACAATTGGCTGGGAGTCCTACTACAAAGACAAGTATATATATCACAGGTGACAACATCTGATGTATGCTATGGTCAATGGTGCAGTTCTGAGTGTGATTGTCCATCACCTCTTCTGGAAGAATCCCCATGTTCTGCAGTCTGTTAGCTCAGCAGGCATATTTTTTATTCTGCCATTTCACCATCTCTACATTTGTTTTATACGATTATCAGTACTTGTAATCACCTGCAAGAAAGGAAAAAAGTCACAAAACAATCCTTATTAAATTCAACAATAAATCAGTCTTTTTCATAATTCAGGAACACAAAGGCTATACTCTACCTAAAACTCTTGAATTTACTGGTCCCATATCATAGCATGCAGTGGTTCATTGAACCATCAGTTTTTGAATAAATGACAGTTGACTGAGTTCACAACTCACTATGACATTGTTCTGACCCAGCTCCCCAAACATGACAAACTCTCTGACATGAACTCAAAAGATTATTTTATTAGGAGTGCCAGCAGCCCTGGCAAAAAGTTTCTCTCACAGGCTAACAAGTCCCTCCTATCTTTTATCCCTAGAGCTAGGGTGGGGCTTAGCTAGCAGTGGTGGCTCTTCCTCCCCCAAGATCAGCCCACGGCTTTCCACTGCTCTCCTCTGACTTCTGAACAGCCGCACATCAGGCACTGGACCCAGCTGTTCCTCCTCTTCATCAACCACCTCCAGACCTGGGGGCAGTTGACTCTCTATCTGAGGGCTGATGGATGGCTCCGCCTCTGTCTGTCTCTCTGCCAATTCCATTCCCACTTCTCCCTCGGAGCTCTTGGTTTGCCCTGATGCTGACCCTCACTCCCACAACTCCTCCTCCTCTGATTCAGCTGCTGGAAGGGCCAGCGGCCAATAGGCCACAACAGCCATAATATACTCACCGGTGATTAAGTTTACTTAATTAAACCTGTTTTCTCACTTTTGCTATGGATGGTGGTGGGGGCGGACAGTGGGCTAGGACTAGAAAGACAGAGTTCACATTCACCCTAATCCATAGTCAGCCTATCAGTACAGGGCTCCCAAGATCTGGTGATCACTAAATGGCAACAAAAAGTTCTTTTTGTCATTAGTACTGTCTGGAGTTTGCAGCCCAAATCTGATAGTCCTAGCGAAGGGATTCCCTTGGTGTCCTCAGATTAATTATTCTATCTCATCTGAGTTTGGTTATAGGGTAGTTGTGGGGGAAATATCCATACTGACAGACTTTGAAGAACATAAATACAATAGTTCTGTTATTCTAATTGTATGGTTACCCATCTCATCCAAGCAATTCTGGGTAACTCATAACAAGTAATAACAATACAATAAAGACAAATTAAAAACTGATATACAAACCTGGAAAAACTATCCATAATCAATTAAAAAAACAGAAAATAATGATCAGCAGCAGAATTAATTCTACATAAGGTCAACTCAGCCACTGATACTGAGCAATAAGTTAAATTGACCAAATTTGCACGCCACATCAGGCTAAATTGTAATTCACTAGTTTGTTGTTACTGTATTATAGAAAGCTAGTTTGTATACTACCTATTTGGTACTTGGATGAAACTGGGAATTCTAAGTTGTACTAAACTTATCTGAAGAAGATAATGGCAAGCAACTTTTTAAAATGTGACCAAGAAAAGTACATGAATGAAGTCATAAGGAGCTGAACTCAACCAAAGGTATCATTACCTTTGTAAATATAACACAAAAGTTCAGACGTGGGGAATATATTTAGTTCAAGATTTGAATGAAGTTCTAAGAGTTCTGACTACTTTTATTTTTGCAGATGTTTCACTGCCTACCTTGGTAACATATTCAATACTATGATCTTGGAGAATTGACGTCTGTTGATTAGAGAACCTCAGTATATGATTGGGTCGGTTCTACTGTTAGGTGTTTTTTGTTTTCTATCATCTAGTTTTTGCTTCACAGAAAAGGTTGCCCCCTTTTGTTTATCTGGGTGTTGGTTAATAGCTGCGTGATAAGGGATGTGGTGATTTTATGCTGTTTTTGCATAAAACCAACTTGCTCTTACCAAGTTGACCTTTGGCTATTTTATTTAAATAGACAGTGGTTGAGTCTAGGTTTATGTGTCTGTTGGTTGATAATTTTTCAGAATGCCAGTTTATTAGGGATTTTTATGTATTCTTGTACTTGGTCCAAATTAGAGTTTCAGTGGCTTCCGAGGCAAATTTATGATTGAATGTATCTGTGCACTGTGAAACATATGATGTTCTGTCATGTCTTCTAACTGCTCCTGAATATGTACTGTTAATGTTCTACCTATTTGATATTCACAGTTCATGCATTTCAATTGCTAAAGTTGAACACTGTGCAAAGACATAGAAAGCGTAAGAAAGAATTCCTCCCATGGGGGAAAATTGTTTCTGTCTCCCTCATTCACAGTTGGTTGAGGTTCCTAGTGAAAGAACATCCCATATTTGAAAGTGGCAGAAATGCTTTTCTGGAGATAAGAAATATGCTGAGGGAGAGTTGATGGAACATTGGCTCTGTTCCCAAAACCCACTTATCCCAGTCAGACACTAACCCCATCAAATGCCCTTATTGATGGTTCTGCCAGCACACAATTGCATTCAATGACTCATTTTCCTTTTGTTAAAATACGGGATTCCTATTCACTTAGATAAGCCAGCCAGCCTGGTGTGATGGTTAACCCACTAGGTTAGAAAGCAAAAGACTCTGAATACTAGTCTTGTTTTCAACATGAAGCCAGCTGGGTGACTTTGAGCATTAGCAGTAAGCAATAGCAAACCACTTCCAAAAATCTTGCCAAGAAAGCTGCAAGGACTAGTCTAAACAATCATCAGATGTCACAACTAACATGAACACACAGAGACACACATAGAGAGACAGACAGAGAAATCACTTAATGCAGGACACTCCTGCTGCTGTATGGATTTTTTGTATCAGAAAGTACTGGCAATGCTGCATTGCGTCACTAGTCTTGTCTAGTGACGCAAGCAGCTTGGATCTAGGACTGTTTGGGTCTAGGACTGTTTGGCGCCCAGGACAGTTAGCACCCAACAAATCAGCTAGAGGGGGTGGAAGTAAGGAATTCTTTAGAGTTAATAGAAATCCAGTGAAAGGAGAGAGGTGTACAAGAGTTTTCAAAAATGCCTCCCTCCCTCCCTCCCTCCCTCTCTCTTCCCCTCCACCTCCTCCCTACCCCCCCTTTGGAGTACGGATAAAGAGTTGGCCTAAAGCGTGGAATTCTGCGATTTGATTCCTGATGATAAATCCTGATGATTCCTCATCAGGATTGATCATCAGGATTCTGAAGATGGGGAGGAGGGGGGGGAGGAGACGAAGATGGGGGGGGAGGAGGAGGAGGAGGAGGAGGAGGAGGAGGAGGAGGAGGAGAGGGTTGGAAGGGAGTACTTTATCGTACTCCAAAGGGGGGGAAGAGGAGGCAAGGGGGAAGAGAGGAAGGCATTTTGGCAAACTCTTGTACGCTTCTCTCCTTTCGCTGGAATTCTATTAACTCTAAAGAATTCATTCCTTCCATTCCTATAATCATCATCATCTTCTTCTTCTTCTTCAGAATCCTGATGAGGAATCACCAGGATTTATCATCAGGAATCAAATCGCAGAATTCCACGCTTTAGGGCAACTCTTTATCCGTACTTCAAAGGGGGGGTGTAGAGAGGGGGGGAGAGAGAGAGGGAGAGAGGGAGGGAGGAAGGCATTTTTGCAAACTCTTGTACGCCTCTCTCCTTTCGCTGGATTTCTATTAACTCTAAAGAATTCCTTACTTCCACCCCCTCTAGCCGATTTGTTGGGTGCTAACTGTCCCGGGCGTCGAAAAACCCAGAACGAATCTCCTTCTGTGTATCGGCCACTCCGAAGTGTGTGGGACAGAGTGGTCATGGCCCATTTCCCATGGCAAATAGGTGGAGGCATGTCAGCTGAGGAGAATAGCCAGTGGAGAATTGCCCGAGGGAGGAATGCCGGCAGAGAATTAGGGGCGGCCAAACATACGAGACGAACAGTCCCATTCCAGCACTAAGCTGAGTTGGTGCAATTAATCAGGAATTGGGAAGTGGTTTTGTATTACTAGGCCTTCTTAGTGAGTTCCATAATGAGGGGTTATTTTTAAAGCTCTGCTTCCCTTCCAACTCTTTTTTTCTTGGAGGATTAGATTGACTGAGTTTTGATGTTTCCATGGCATGGCGAAATGAATGGAATTTGTTTAACTCTATGAAGGACTTTTAGATATAGTTCACCAGATCAATTGACTCTTTTTCAGTGGTGGGCTTCTACTGGTTCGCCCCGGTTTGGGCGAACTGGTAGCTGCAGCGGGGGGTGCCTCCATCCACCCACCCAGACATCATCACAGACACTCTGCGCATGCGCAGAAGTGCTGTATGCGAGCAAAGGAAGTGCGCGTATGCACACACTCACAGTTCTGAACCAGTAGCGAAGGTAAGTGAAACCCACTACTGCCCTTTTTGATGTTCCTATAACACACTAATTCTACTACAGACACATATCCATTAACCTAGTTGTTAAGTGTGCTATGGAAAGAGGGCCACATTGATATCTTCAGTTTGTTCAGTAAAAGTAACATCTTCCAAGTGAACCTTTAAAAAATCCCTAAAGAGCCTCCAAGGAGGAAAAAGGAAACCTTTTTTTAAGTAAGCAAAGCATTTGTTCAAAGAGAAAGGAACATACAAAGGTTGGACAATGTTTCTATTGTTAACAGAGTGAAATGTGGGGAAATGTGCGCATTATTTTTCCAAATCTCAATGTCAGGAAACAACCATGAAAGGCAACATTCCCATTTCTTGTCAATGACATTGTCTAAAATCACAAAATATTAATGCATTCAGATTACTACGAAGTTTCACAAACATCATACAAAAATACTGTAGTTATTTCACTTCTATACTAAAGACTTACAGTACATTGCAGTAACTCCCATTGCAATTGAGTGTTTTTACAAGGGAGCACAAATGCTCTATAAGCCTCATAACCATTCAGTAGTACAGTTTTCTTCAATTTGACTTAAGACGGTAGCTGCAATCTAACATATCAGGGAAACATCAAATTGGGTAAGGCTATCATAAGATGACATGTTGTTGAATGTTATTTTTAACATTAACACATCAAAATATACTTTACATTCTTTTTGAAATGCCATTTTGATAAGAGTACACTATGTGAGGACTAAGAGTTAAAGAAGTTTCTTGGATGAGAACAGTGGTGAAATCTAAAATTTGTTACTACCAGTTCTGTGGGCGTGGCTTGGGGGGAGGGGTAATGTGACTGGGTGGGCGTGGTCAATTTTTTTTTTACTTTTAAAATCATTTTTTACATGTAAAACCATGTAAAAAAATGCTTTCAAAAGGCTCTGATGATCCCAGTTGAGTTGCCTGATCGTCAGAGGGTTTTTAAAAAACCCTCTGCTGATCAGGCAACTCAGCTGGGATCGTCAGAGCTTGGATCGTCAGAGGCATTTAAAAGAAAAAAAGTCTCTGATGATCGTGCGGCTCAGCTGGGCATGGGGGGTGGGGGCAGGGATTTTTGCTACCGGTTCTCTGAACTGCCCGAGCCGGTCCGAACCGGGAGCATTTCACTCCTGGATGAGAAGCGAAATGTCTTCAAAGAAAAACCAGAAAATCCAGTTGCCACTTGAAAAAACATCTTTGGAACAGTACCTATGTTCTGTTAATTGAGAAACTGGACAAAATAGCCTCCCTGAGAGACTTTTTCCCAATGTGGTATTCTTTTGATGTGTTGGAGGTCAGCTACAATAATTTCTAGTTAGCATGACCAATGGTATGTGGAGGGCACCAGTTCAGAGAAAACATACATAATGTGGCTGAGCCAATAGGGTAAAAGTCTGGAGATCTCAAACCTCTCTCCAGTTTCTATATAAACTGGCCATATTTCCTTGCCTTTGAGTAGCAACTTAATACCGTATTTCCCCGAAAATAAGACCCTGTCTTATGTTTTTTTGAACCCTGAAATAAGCACTTGGCCTTTTTGCAATGCACTCAAAAGCCCGATTGGGATGTCTTATTTGGGAGGAAACAGGGTAGTTCCTGCTACTATCATTTACAATATCTTCCAAGAAGTCCCCCTATGTCTGGTGTATGGGAAATATAGGGTTCTTGTGACTTGTGTGACTCTACTTGCGGTAAAAAGCTAAACATCAGAGAAATAATAACTTCTCTAGTTGACCCTAGCCTGTAGCAATGTAGCATATACATGTCTAATTAAACTTTGAGGTCTTCCTTCCCCCTTCTGGAAATTAATGTCATAAAAGATGAACAAAATCAAACTTTTTAAAAAAAATGTATTATACATGAAACTTGGTTTATAAAAATGCATGCAATGTTTTTTGCCAAATTTGAAAGCAAAATTCTCTGCTTTTTTTTCCTGGACCTTCGCTGACTTCCTGGCAATAATTCTAACCAATTATCAGAGCTGTTGGGGAAATCAGAAGGTCACACATGATCACATGACCCCGGGATGCTTCAAACATCATAAATATGAACCAATTGCCAAGTGTCTAAATTTTGATCACATGTTTACAGGGATGCTGCAATGGTCTTAAGTCCTTTTTTTCAGCACTGTTAAAACTTTGAATGGTCACTAAATGAACTGTTGTAAGTCAAGGACTACCTTTACAATTCACCTTTGCTTGGTTTAGCTTCTCACCAGATTTTAATTTGATTGTTAGGGCAAACATTTTGACTGAAATCACAACATGCCTTGATTTGCCTACCATGTCTGTATCCTAGAAAAGAAAAAGGACCAGAGTACAGAAGAGAGATTTTTTTTTGTCTTCATTGTTTCATTTCCAATTTTCCAAATGCTGTTTCTCTTAAACTTTCTACATTTTTTTAAAAAATGGAACCTAGACCTGTATATTGTATGGTTGTTGGTATTTGAATAGTAGATTGCATAGCAATTACACATTAGTAAGTAACCACAGATATATTCTGAAAATTGCCGTTTTAAACAGGACTGAAATATTTAAATGAGACATAAACAATAGGCTAATTACTCATCAGTTCACAATTTCCCCCTTAAAGAGGACACATATTACTCATTACACCAAGTAGAAGTCTGAGCTTATTTACACTTGGAATTTCCATGTCTGCTTGGCTTCCTTTTAATCAAAGAGCATATTCATATGAAAGTTATGGCTATAATTTGTAAAACAGCTTTTTCACCTAAAGGATGTAGGTACAGTTCAGTATTAATTATTCCATTAATAATCCATTTATTTTTTTTAATAACAAACGTTAAATCTTGAATACAACCAAAACGCATTTCTTATTAAATCTAAAATATGTAATTCATATCTATCAAAGTTTAATATAAAGGGTCCTATCAATTGTAACTGAACTGCCTGACAATTAAAACCATGCTGAATATAATATTTCAGGAACTCTGTGGCATGATACCGCATAAATAATATCAAACCAATAAAACAAAAGTAACATGATAGTATACATCTGTTTCAGCAGAATCTACCCAGTTTAATTTTTGAGAAGTCTACAAAAATGTTTGAAATTCTAGAGTGGTGCTTCAGATATGTATTGATGATTCTGGCTAATATGGATCAATGGACTAGTGCAGATTTAAGAGATTATGTGTGATCCCAAAAAGTAGATATGGAAAACAAGACTAAGTACAAAGATAAAGAAAGGGAGTATCTATTCCAGTGAATAGTTTTTCAATAAATTGATTATCACCAGCAGTTAATAATGGAAAACATTGTTAACCATGATCTAGTTGCTATGTAGCTTTAATGGAGCATTACATAGCTAGAGGTCTAGTTGACATATCATTATAACCCCATAATGGCAACCCTATGGCACGGGTGCCACAGGCAGGCAGAGCCCTCTCTGCGGGGATACAAGCTGTCACCCCAGCTCAGCTTTGCCACGCATGTGTGCGCACCTCCCACCAGCCAGGTGGTTTTTAGGTCTCTGCTGCACATGCACAGGGGCCGGGGTGCATGCAGGAGATGTGCACGCATGCATGGGGCGCACGCACATGCATGGGTCCGCGCATGCATGCATGGGGTGTGACACATGGGGCCATGTGCACATGCATGGGGGTGGGGTGCACACGGGGTCACACGCGCATGCACAGGCACACGGGGTCGTGCACACATGCGCAGGGGGTGCAGGGGGTGGGTGCCAAAAAGGTTAGCCATCACTGCTATAACCTATCCTCACAAGTAGCTGTAAAAACAAGAGATAGAGAAATAAAATGATTCTCCTAGCTGTAAAATATTTTGTTCACTCATCCCCCTGTTGTTGATTTTGCCAAATAAGTTTTATTTGAAACAAAGTGAGGCTTATATTATATTTATACAAGTTATTTTAAACAAAACCAGAATGTTACCAGGCACAGGCTCAAACACTGACTGCTGCACTCCCAATATGCAATTAAATAACCAATGTTAAACAGGAAACCAACTAAAAAGAGAACTGGGCTACAGCCAGCAACAGCTGAACCACCTCAAGCAGAGAGAATAGGAACAACAAGTTACCTCACACTAAACCTATTTTAATATAAGCAGCTTGAAAATTACACAAGCAAATTATACAGCAGAGAAAGCACAGTACAGATATCTCAGATCAGTACAACAAGATGCGTAAAACATCAGGACTGTAGGTTATACAAATATTTCAAATGTCTAAAATTTTTGTAGCAGAAGTTATACATCCAGTTATCACTTTGGTTCCATCTTTCATAATATCGCAGGCAGTAAAACCTCAAGCATAGATGAGCAGTATTGGAACAGATTATGGTATACATTCTTATACACCCCTGTTCATGCCTCTCATTGCTTTATGGGTGCAGAAATGACTAACAGTGCCCTCCTCCCACTCCCAGCTCATGGCAAGTATACCTGGGTTTTCCAGCTTCAATTAAAAGCTGTTCTTTTTTGTACTCCAAGCCCTCTTAAATCCTTCGGAGCAGATGGTCTCCAGCACTTTGTTCTATTCCAGTAGCAACCCCAGTGCCTAGGTGTTGTGGCTGGCAGGTCTCCGTCTCCCCTTCCATGGCTGATAGTTACCTTGGGCAGCCATTTTGTCCTTTGATGACAGGCTGCTCTGTTCTCTGATGGCTGGCAGTTGCTCTTTTTGTAATATTATGGTTGATCCAGCAATGGCCCCTTAAGTTGCCAAACCATCCTCACTGGGAAATGAGGGCTCCATTCAACCTCACATTAGCCAGTGGAAGCCCTTCTCAGTTGCTGCCTACTGGATAAAGCATGCTCCCTTTGCTTTCTCAGCCCTTGGTCACAATACTGCAAAACTTCATTTTCCTTTATTCTTTAAAACATCTTTAAGCTCAAAGGTAGGAATGTTGCTACCCTACTTTGTTTTTATGAAGCTGAATTACCAGTCCTTCCTTGTTTCCATGGTCCTTCAGAGCAAAGTAGGAAACAAAGAACAGGGGGTTCCCCTTTCATCACTTTGATTATTGCTGCAGAAGAACAAAAAAAACAAGAAAGAAAAAGGAAAGGGTCTGCTTTAGCATCAAAGGAGATAACACGAGAGGGTTATGGGTAGGTATCCATGTATGCAAACATCTGGAAAAGCAAAGGGAAGACCCAAGGACTAATGAAAAAGGAACAGCCCCTAAAAGGAAAAGTCAGACAGTAGAGAACAGCCCACTCAGGAAGAATCAGAGAAGATGAACTTCCCTGCATGGATTGGAAGGGCAAATGTTAGAAGAAGACCAGCCAGATCTTGCAGTGGCCATAATCTGGCCTGGCCTAACTCTCCTCTTTTAAATTTTTAATTCGTGATTTTATAAATTGGGTGTTTTAATCTGTGTTTCGGCCAAAATATTTAATAATTTTAAGGGATTTTTAATATTTGTATTATCTGTATTTTATCTTGGCTGTTCACCGCCCTGAGTCCTTCGGGAGTAGGGCGGTATAGAAATTTGATTAATAAATAAATAAATAAATCTAGACCCGTGATGGTGAACCTATGGCACACGTGCCTGAAGTGACACACAGAGCCATGTCGCCTGGCACGCAAGGCTTTGCCCGTTCCTCTTCTGGGTTTCTGATGCACGTGCGATTATCAGCTGGCCTTCGCGCGTGCGGCAGTGCCAGAAACTGGAAGACCAGCTGGCCAGTGCGCATGTGTGTGCCAGAAACCGGAAGTTCATTTCCCAGCATGGGCTGCTCCTCTTCTGGGTTGCGTCCCTGATGAGCATGCACACGTGCGCACTTCCTTTTCGGCACTCGGTGCCAAAAAGGTTCGCCATCACTGATCTAGACAATGCAATAACCTAACACTGTTGTCAATTGATTCCAATCTGGGCTGGAGTTTCAGGTATTAACTCAAGAAACCATTTCAAGAACAGCATAGGAAACAAGCTGCTGTGTGGAATTCCCCATAGAACCTATTCATATTTTCTCCAGAAATTAAAACTATATTGTTAGTCCTTCCCCAACTGAAACTGGAATTTTCCTACACACAGGGTCCATACTTTTGTGTGGCTTTCTGAAATACAATTACTTATTTTTGGCACTGTCAAGTGTACCCATACATTACTTGATTTGAAGACTTTTTTCTAGGATTGGTTAACAATTAAATGGCCTCTGGGTCTTATTCCTCTTCTTAGATGTTTTAAAAAGCATAGGCATCCCTGACCAAATTGTATGTTTCAATTAATTCATAAGTGAACAGAAGATGATACAACTACCACATGGTACTAAATTAAACATAATATCTTTCTGCAAGTTTGAATGCATACTGTACCTATGTGCTGTGCAATTGTTTGCAGCATCAGAATAAGAAAATGGTGAATATCAGACACTCTTATCATTAACTGTTGTACCTTATGATTCTTGATGAATGCATTTTTTCTTTTATGTACACCAAGAGCGTATGCATCAAGACAAATTCCCTGTGTTTCCAATCACACTTGGCCAATAAAGAATTCTATTCTATTCTATTCTATTCTATTCTATTCTATTCTATTCTATTTTTTTATATTCTTTCAGTCAGTACTCTGAAAGTCCCCATTCTGGTTGCTTTTGCCAGCCAGATGGGACAATGCAAAAGTGACAGGACTAAAATCACAAAGAACTCTGCCCATATCTTCAAGATCCACAAACTCTACTTCCATCTGGCTTTTAATTCAGAGTAAGTATGAATTTCTCTTTGGTATTATAATAATTCACTCATAAATTAAAGAGCACTGACAATCTTGGAAAATCTCATATTCCAAATATGGGCAAGATAATTTCACTTTCTTCCAAAGCCTCAAAATTCTTTGATAGATGATAAGAAAATAAAACTGTCTCCTTGTCGATATGCTAGCCAAAGTGGCAACAATAAAGCCTGTAATTAAATCATTCTCCTTCCATATTCCGAAACAGAATTTTCTACCCTCTCTTTTAGTCCTAATACAGAAAGAAAAAAAAGAAAAGTTGGTCAGCTCATACAATGCAGGTCACAAGTCATAAAAAGTGACATATTGGTAGAATCGTAGGGTTGGAAAGCCCCTTGGAAGTCTTCTAATCCCCCCATTACCCACTCCAGAAATCCTCCTTCCATCCTAGACAAATAGCTGTCTAATTTTGAATACTAATGAACCATCAATGGCTTCAGGAGGCAGGATTTCCACTGGTTAATAATTCTCATAGTCAGAAAATTCTTCATTTTCAAATTGGATCTTTCACTATAAAGCTTCCCCAATGTTCCCCACTCATTTCAGTTCTTCAGCATCCGTTATATATTATCACACTACAACTGGACCAGTGGTGGGTTGCCCCTTGTTTGGACCGGTTCTATAGAACCGGTAGTAAAACTGGTGGGAGGCTCCACCCACTGACCCTGACATCATTAGAAGTGATCTGTGCATGCGCAGAAGCAAGGCGCGTGTGCGAGCAAAGTGAGCCCGCGCGCACAATCCCGTTGTGAACCGGTAGTAAAGGTAAGTAGAACCACCCCTGAACTGGACACAGCATTCCAAGTGTGGTCTGACCAGGTCTGCATAATACATACTACACTTCCCATGTTTTTAATATTATACCTATGTTGAAGTAGGCTGAATTGGCTCTTTTAGTAGTTGCACTACACTGCTGCTTTCTGCTTGATATGTGGTCTACCAAGGTCCCACTTCCTTCTTATAGGTGTGACTGCTGCACAGTTGTTTTTTCCTGCCTAACTGCAGCACCTTAATGTTTTTATGACTGAACAACATTTTGTTCAAATCCTTTTGAATCTTGATCCTATCTTCTGGAGTGTTGGGAAATTTTGCTTATTTTGTGAGCATCCCTTTTATTCCCTCAACTAAATCATTTATGAAGATGTTGAAAAGAACTGAGCTGAGGACAAGCCCTGTAATATCTCACTGCACACCTCCCTCCATGTGGACATAGATCCACTAAGGACCACACATTGGTTATGGTTGTTCAGCCAAGTATGAATCCATTTGGAGGGATCACTCCAAATTTTGCAGTTTATCAAGAAGTTGGTCTAGTTTATCAAATAACTAAGAACACTTCAGACAGTCCTCAGTTACTGACTATTTGGTGTCCATTCTAAATTTTGACCGTGGTGAATGAGCAGTACTTATGACCTTTCCTTAAAATTCCAGCTGTTGCACCTCAATTTGGGTGCTTGGCAACCAACTCAACCAACTGGTTGCAGCTCCCTATTTGCAGTCACAATTTGCAACTTTCCCTGCTGGCGTCCCACAAATTCAGTGGGGAAGCTAAAGGTTGCAAGGTGCTCTGATAAATCTTCCTCCATCCTTCCTGCGTTCTGTGCTGCACCCTTCTTCTCTTAGAATTCCTGAACTCACCTGCACTATGCCTTCTTTCTCTCAGATTCTCTCTGTTTGCACATAACCATGCTCTCCTTCCCTTGCACATATGCAGCAGTTCACCACCTCCTCCCCCAACTCATGTGCAGCTTGCACAGGCCCTCTCACAACCTACTCTACCCATATGTGGCATCCCTGAACTGCTTAGTGGAGACCTCATCACTTCCTGCTTAGTGCCAAGCCTATCTTGGGGATACAATGGCAACCAAGACTGTCTGCATTGTCATTGCTAAATGATACAGTCACGTGCCATTGAGTTTTACAACCACATTGCTTAGCTATGGCAAAAATTCTGGTCCTAGTTGCTATCAGAACCCTAGGATTGTCTCTACAATACACAGCATTACCTTGGTGCACTAATTTAGTCATATTGTCAAAGAAAGCAATAAGATTTATCTGGCTTGACCTTTTTATAATGAATTCATGCTGCCTTTTGGTACTCATCCTGTTTGTTTCTAAATGCTTGCAAATATAGTGATTAATTATGTTTTTCCAAGATTTTCCCAGATCCCAAGCTGACAGTTGTCTGTAGTTTCCTGGATCTACTTTCCCCCCCTTTTAAAATATTGTGAAAATTGGCTCTTGGCTCTTCTTTAGTCCTTTGGCACATAGCCTGAGCTCCAGAGCTTCTCAGGCACATAGCCTGAGCTTTGAGCTTCTCAAAGATTTCAATTGCTGGCTCTCATGTGACATGACCAGTTCCTTTAACACCCTGGGATGTAATCCATCTGGTCAAAACTACCAAGTGTTCTCTCACCAATTCCTCACTGTTTATGTCTGTCTTTCTCTTCCCTTCCCACCAGCGTTGCTTCTGAAAGTCAAACTTTTTCCTTTTGTGAAAAGACAGGGGCAAGGTAGGAATTAAGCAATTCAACTTTGTCTCTTTTGCCTGTAACCATTGGCCTTTTCCAACTAGTTGTCCAACTTTTTCCTCAACTTTTTTCTTGTTCTAGACATGTTATTTTTGGCATTCATCGCAAGCCTTAATTCCTGATTATCCATAGCTTTTCTGATCCCATCCATGCAGATTCTGCCTCTTTCCTGATATTCTACTCTTGTTATATTAAAAATGTCACATACTTTTTTTTTAAGTGTCCTGTTTGTTTCTCAGTTCATCAGAAGGCTCTTGGTACAACCACACCAGTTTTATCAAGCACCTTCCATTTTTTCCCCTGACTGCCTTTAGTTTTCCTAT